TGTGCCTCTGTATGTGCTTGTGCCATTAACCCCAAGTTAAAAACATTAAGTTGTGACATGATCACCAAACACAACAAACCAAATGGGCAGGTTTGAACAAGAATCACATTGCATCAGATGCCTCTTTGGAGGCTGTGTGTTAAAAATTTGGATAAGCTGTAATACTTGCAGCATTACGGCATAAAACCAGAATACACTGAAAATATTCAATCAGGATATGTATTTTCACATCAAGAACTGACGCAGAACAACTCGGCAGCCAGAAGACCTTTAATCTCCATTACCTTTCTTACCCAAATTCAAATCATTTCAACTTGAACTTTCATTGTAAAATAGAGTATTACTCAACAGAGAAGGAATGCTTATTCTCGAGCTGAGAGAAGCATCTATCTTTCTAGATCTCTCTTTGCATACTCCACAAGTGAAACTCAAACAAGGCCAACTGGTACGGAGAGCCAATATTGAGAAAAGAAACAACTCAAGAACGAAATTAGAGAGCTCGAGTAACAACTGCGTTAAGTTTCATTTTTAAGATTCTTCGTCTGTGTAATAATTAAGTAGATCGTTGGAAGTTGATTAACCCGCCTCGATTGGCAAATATGCTAACTGCGGGTAACTCATTCCTAAATTTTGTAATGAAATGAATTTCACACGTGTGTGAGCAGTCACATTACAAACCTAGCACAAACCAACGCACGTAACAAAGCCTAAATTTATATATTTTTCTTTTATTTAGTACTTTCTTTATCACTATTTTCTGTTTTGTTTATCCTATGTGTTAATACTCTCCATTACCTTAACATTTGTTATACATATACGCTGTATTTATCAACTATGGGTATGGTATTAGCTAATCTTTCTCTTTGCTCTTTTCCTCTTCATTTAATTGTATTGCAATATGATGGAGAAATAAAATAACAAATAAACCTAAAACTAATGAATTCGGCAAAGACGCTGGCGAAGTGGAGGCGTAACGGCAATTCGCTCCAGAAAAAAAATATAAAGGGAAAGGCGCGCAGTCAAGGATAGTTCAAATATGTTTTTTCGTTATATCGAACTGACTTCTATTTAGAGCGAAAAAGATGCCAGTGGAAATGACCTTGAACCTCTCAATCTCTCCAAAGCAATAACAGGGCGAAACGCGCCAAGCTAGCATCTTCAAAACTGGCGGTGTGGTAGAGCGTGAGTTAGTTTATTTCGTAAGAGATTGTAGAATTGATAATGGCAATTTTCTGTCACAAATAAAACCACCAGATATTCATGGTTCTTCAAAAATTGCAATTCAATACGTCTGTGGGAAAAAATTTGACCCAAGCCATTCAGTTTCTTTCAAATTCAACGCACGCAACTGAGGGTGCAATGTTGACAACTCAGATTCCTTGCTCTCAGTGTCATTGACACCAGAATAAGCAAATACGCAGCTCGTAAATTACAATAAAAGACGATGAAAGGGCTTACCTAAACCAACGGAAACATGTTCCTCCACCACTCTGCCCTTTGCAGTCCACAGCTTGAACAGGAGCAACGATAAGATACGCGCGACGCAGTTTGCAGACTTCTGATGGAAAATGCGGGTGAGAGCGCTGTAGAGGGTAGTATCGTTCTTTAGTGCCTGAAGACTTACTTTGTTCACTTTTTCCCATGGGGCCGAGCCAGTCAAAAAATGTTGATTGTGCCACCTGACTCAACAATAGAACAAATTAGATAGGGGTGTCACCTTGTGACTTCATTGTGGAATGTTACAAACAACAATTGCAACTAAAATCTACACCTCATTTTTTGCAGAAGTCTCTCAACATTTTTACAGCATCGTCGGTAGCCGTGTGACAAGAATTGTGAAAAAATCGTACTTCATAATGCGTACAATCCTTTGTTTCTAGGAAACAATGCAAAGACAATAGCGTACCATTGGGAATCTGAGTAATTTTGCGTTGGGTTTGTGTTTGTGTGAGTTTTTTTTCCTGAATCTCTTTTTTAAATGTGCTAAAAATCTCAGCTTTTAAATTCAGTTTAAAGTTTTAACCTTCGAAGCTATCAAAATGTTATATTCTGTCGAAGAATATGTTTTCTTGTTCCTTTTTTTTGTCGCAACAGTTTTTTTATTTTTTCTTTGTCACGTGCAGTACTTTGACTATAATGACTACCGTAGTAGTCCTTCAACGAAGGAGAAAAATATTTTTTTCCACAGCATTAGTTAGTTTATGGACCGGCTGTATTGTTTCATAGGTTCCCGCAAGGCGACTTGTTTAAAAGAAACCTATGACACCCTACCTGTAGAGTGAACTACAATGAAATGGTGTATCTAAACGTTGTACGAGTTAAAACTGGGACTGAATAGCACCTTTATTCCTTGGCCCACCCTTCAGCCCTCTCTTCCACGCTTCTTTCTTTTATTTTAGAGAAAGACATTTGATATACAATTAGTTTCTAACTTCTACAACGTGTTAGATTCCCACTGCATTCAGATTTTCTTTATTCCTTTTTCCCATACCGAGGACTTAATGTGGACTGAACACAACTGGACTGAATGCTGTATTAGAACTTCCGTTTTAATGAAGCGAAGCGTCCAAACTAATGTGCTTATTGAAAAGAAAAGCAGCTGTTTTTTTTTTCTGCAAGAGACGAATGGTTTTTCTTAATAGAATGAGGCATGAGAACTTGTAAATTAAAGGAAACTTGACACAAGAGAAACGATTTGGAAGATTTGAAATCTAAACGCATATCTTTCCTAGTTAATGAGCGAGAAGAAAAACTTGACAAGTTCTTATCCGCCATATTCTAAAATTACATGCTACGTTGATTTTCAAATGCGCGAGCCATAGCTCGCGCACACCGTGTTTGTAGCATCACAATGATAACTCTACATACGTAGACAAGTTCAGTTGAGAACACTGTGTAAACTGCGCGTCTAAGATCCTTCGGAGATTTAAGTCACAAAGTTGCAAATTGGAAATGGGAATTTCACGATTTTTCAGACGTTTGAACTGCTTTGCTTCTGCTCAAAGAAACCAAAAGTCGAAGTAAGAATCATTTCGCGGGCCTATTGAGTGCTCTTGCCTTACTATCTTATTTCTTTTGTTTCAACTCACAATCGATTCTCTCTTGTCGCCCACAGGAGACAAATGGAAAAAGAAATCTCAAGCATGCAAGAGTTGATCAAAATACTTGAACAAGATATCCAGATCACAAGGTGATGAAAACAGTAGAACTTTTATATTATTTGGGGATCTCGCAGTAACATGTGAAGAAAGTGAATAATCGACATTCGGAGTGAAGGATTCTCGCAATGTCCGTTTCTCATTTAATTGTGCGCACAGTTTGGATGTGAAATTAAGTTTTGCGTGCAAGTCGCGGAAGAGTTGGTTGTTTAAAAGTGCATTCAATTGAAGTAATTGTTTCTAAACAGGAATACTGTTGAGCTGTTCAAGCAGCGACAAAAAGTAGTGGAGGAGAAAGAAAAGATGAGAAGAGACACCAGATACAATCTGATGGCTCAAGTTGAGGAGATTGAGAGTGAACTGGGACGAGCATTGGAAGAGCGCAAAGAGCTGATGTCACTTATTATGTAAGTAGGACTTAAAAAAAATGCAAGTAGGATTTAGGTATACTTAACTCTTAAAATGTAACGAATGAATGAATGGATGGAACGATAGGATGGGATGAGACAGAATGGGAAAGTCAGGGTCGAAGTAATTCTAAGAAACTCCTTAGTCATACTGACAACAAGCGTTAATACGCTACATTTTCTCTCCACAGTGAATGCGGAATTCGAAAAACAGCCTTGGAAAAAGATGTTCAAGCGATGGAAAAGAAGGCGGAGTTTTTCTGGGAAGATCTGTATGATCCATCTCCAGTTTCCAAAACGAGCGCCAAAACATGGCAGGAGAATCTGCGTCCTGTGCGTTCAACGAGTGACCTGAACAAGGCGGTGCTTAAGCCACCCCTGTGTTTTGCACAGGACGCAGATGATCTCCAAGTGTGGGATGTACCTTATGATGCGAGTGACGACGAACTCTTCGCAGAAAGACTCAGAAATGAAGTTTTAATCACAAAAAGCAAAGAAACCTTCGTTTAAAAGGAAACATTATGAAAAGCGAATCTGTTGAAGTTGTAAATGAAGCTTTTAAATTTGACAATGTCCTTTGGACATTTCCTTCGGTTGGCCTGTACATTTGAGATAAAGCATCACCCTTATTTAAAGGAAAATAAACTGATTTCAAAAGCAAATGTGTTTATGACGTGTGTAATTGTATGTCCCATGTTTTGGGTAATGACACGGAGCCCAATCAGGTCGCAGCTTGAAAAGGCATGAAAATCTAGCTTGATTTCCAGTAAATTCAGTTACAAAGGACCCTTGCGGCTCTGTAATACCCTTGATCGAATTTCTTCCAAGGTATTCATTTCAGCATTGCAATTTACCACGCATCCATCTACCATCTTAGAATGAAAATTTTCTGAAGGTCAGAAAATGTTTAAGCACATTTGTTGAATCCCTCTCGAATATCCAAGATTAAATTATTCAGGGTTTGCAACCGAAAAATGAGGAAACATAAGGCATTGACCGACTGCAAAACTGCCATTCAGTAAAATGAAAGATGGCCAGGAACACGAAGAATACTTCATCTAACACAGCAGCAAGGCTGAGATAATTGAAGACAAATGCTTTGCTTGGTGTAGCAGTAGATCTCCTTTAACCTTTTACACCCTGATATCAGTATTCTCCATACTGTTCTCTATACGTTTCCTTAGGTGCTGACAAGGAGAATTTGTTGAATAATCAAGAGCTTCCTTAGTTAGTGATCATATCCTTTATTTTCATGATGTTAATGCTTTTTTTCAGGGGTGACATTGTAAGGAGAAATTAAATGCTGGTCAGTCTTAGGGGTCAGAGGGTTAGGGTCATTCACCTTCGTTCTTGAGAGTCATGGTCACTGTGGCTCAACTGATGTGCCACTTAATGGTAGAAAAAATAAGTGTGTGCCGGAAAATTTACTAACAAATAAGTTCCACAACAAACTTTATTGATAAGATTTCCAAAATTAAGCACCTGAAATCACAGACTGAAAGAGCAATTTCAGTTCCTTTACCACTTTTATATTCCTTTAAACATCAGACTTACAAAAATATTACTTAACAACACGGTGAGACTTGGAGCCAGTAATTGTATGACACTGATTTCATTGGACTCCAGTAAGTAGAATGATTATAGTTATTGTATATTAATCAATCCTAATACAAGCCCTAATATAATCCTCTTTTTCATGAAAAAACATATTCATATCATTGATTGCAAAAATTCATGAAAGAAATCTAAGTCACCAAAATAAAATATAGAAATGAAAATGTTTGCTTGCATTTCTTTGTGAATAACATGCAAATTTCCAAAGTAACACAGTCAAGCTTTCCTGAGGACAAACTGCAGAGTACAATACTTAATTTCAGCCCTCCGAGTTCCTGATATTTCTCTCAAAGATTGCATAATTATCATCAAAATTAAGGTCATGCCTGGCACCTCAAGCTCTACACCTAGTGGCATTTTAACATGGAAATATAAAATGGAGATATAACAACATTTCTGAAAAAAAATATAAAAAAAAATTCCGACATTTCTTTTTAGAGGCTTGTAATTACTAACAACAAAACATCCTTGTTGGTTAATGACAATGAGTCTCCAAGAATTCCATATGTCTGAACATTTCACTTTACATCCTGTCTTTTTTAATGTCTATTAATTAAATTCGAGTCTTTATCACCTTGTTACAACAAACAAAAAATTAAGCTTCTTGGACTAGGCATCAACTTCACCAATGCCTGAAAAGTCATCAAATACAGTTATTGTCCTAATGATTATTAAGAACTACTGTGTGTTGAGATGTTGACATCACATCCCAATATATGAATAAAACATTTTTAAAGTTTAGCTATACATCCAATTGTTTCTAAAACATATACTAATACATCTTAAAGTTCATATGAAATGAAATCTTTTGTTTGCAATATTTGAGGTTCAACTCTGAATTTGCTCCACGTTACTGTGTGGTAAGATATCCATTTTATCCTCTCCTATTTACTGTAATGTATTACAATGTCTAACTGCTAAGTAAAGGGGGAAAAGAAAAGTTAGTTATGATTCATAATTTTAGTTGCCCTTGTTCCTCAAAAATGGAGACTATTTTCTAAAAAATTCTCGGTTCTGAGGTGCTGAAATTCAGGACTATATCTTCTACGATGAATAACAAAAAAAATCATTTCATAATCATGTACTTTAAAAGCATGGGTCAAGATGGTCTTGGTCGCAGAATAAGTCTTCCCTTCTGAAATGAAAGAAGAGGACATTCAATAAAATGGTACGCATTGCAATCCACATTAAAAACAATTCCTAACATTACCTTCCAAAGAGCATGCATGAAGTAAAGTGTATACTTATCTCTAAGTCTGTCAGACTTTGAGACTTTCTCAAAAAAGAGAATGAAAGATATGGACACCCAAATAATGATCTTCAAAAAAAAAATTAAAACTTCCCTTTACTATTTTTTGGGTCCATGTTATTGGTCTTGTTCTTGCTTTAAAGGTAATGTCAAATTGTAATACATAATGATTATCAACAGTAATAATGACTCTACAAGGAGCCTTTAAACACAATTAAAATTGCGCTTGTCTTCCAAGTTCAACATTACTGTTTGTTGCCCAATATTAAGAAAACAAAACAAGTTTACCTGCTTAAAAAAAGGTTTAAAAAATCACATTCACCACTCAACTGCATAATAAAGCCATTGAAAACTAAAGATCTTACCTCATCACAGGACATGTTATAATCCTCTAAAACTACTCTTGTTCTTGCTAAAATTCTATCGCACACAAGTTAAAGAAATGCAAATGAAATACAAGGGTCCAACAACTGTGGATGGGAAACCTCCATGTATTGCACGCAGGACAATTGTTTATAACTAACACATGATTCTGGAAAAGCTCCTCTTTCCTCTACATCACAAAAATAGGGTAAACAAATTGTCAGGATTGTCAAAAAGATTAAAAAAAAAAAGATTTTCTGTCTTTTTTTGGAAACCCTGAATGGCACTCTAATGGCAGTTGCTTGACTCCTGTAGGGAGAGGTAGGTATATTCCCTAAGAGAGGCATATTTATGACACAATAATTTTTCAATCCTCACCATTGAAAAGTTTACGCAAAGTGGTAATACTGACCATGTTTTGATATTCCAATGAGTAACTTAACCCTTTCAAAATTGTCCTGAAATGTGCTGAAATTTGTCTACAGACCATGCCACATTGAATCTTGCATGGTAATCTGGCCACCAAAAAGGTAGACTTTGCTATGCTGGGGACTTTGCTGAGTAAAATAGTTTTACTGATACAAATATTTTATGCAAAAGTTTGAACTCTAAGATTTCAGAGAAGGATACATTTGAGGTGCCATAACTCTCCTATGAATTCCCAGCATAAATAAAATGAATAAATTACAGCAACTGATTGTGAAAAATTTATGATGCCACAGATACTGCAGTAGTGAAGGATGCTGCAAACAAGGTCATAAAAGCAAACAGTTTATACTGACTTTTTTCAGTGAGGAAGGTCAAAGGCCTGATGGATAATTCTTACTTACAATATTTATAACCTAAACATAAATCATATAATCCAAATTGTTACAGTTGCAAAAACACATTTCAAACAGGTGCTTGGTCTATGCAGTCAATGGTCCAATCAGCCATGTGTCCTTCCCATTGAGCAAGGATAATTTCCAATAAAAAAAAAGTACACATTTTCACATTGTCTTTTCTCTGACAGAAGCTGCTCCAACTTTCTTGATGGTGTGCTTTCTTAGCAGGGTAATCATATATTCTTCATGATTATGAAATATTGGTTGTAATTTAAAAGAGGGCATGCAAGAATTATGAATTTTTTGATCAGCCAAAATGAGAGTTCTGCACAACATGTGACAATTGCCAGGTATGATATGAAAAACCCAATTAAAATTGTGAACTTGCTAATTTGCATGGATTTTCAGTGTCAAACCTACATGTTGATTATCTGTGATTAATCCCCAGGCTCCTGCAGCGGTTGCAACTGACGACAGAACAAGAATAACTGCAAAACAATTAAAAAATCGGTCAGACTTAGTTTACATCGAGGCGGAATTTTCTAGTTGAAGGATTCGCACAACGCACAAGCGTTATGAATCTATCTATGTAGAGACAATCAACACCCCTAACTGTCATATTCTTCTGAGCATTACAACACGTTCAGAAACATTCAGGACCAATTTTACATCGCGCATATTTTTACCATAACTTGGACAATCAAAAAAGATACTTAACCTTAAATATTGATCAGAAATACGCTTTAAAACTGTGAGTTCGATTTTAAAAGACTTACGTCTCCATTTGCCGGTTTGTGGACCTAAACATTGCACGTACTCCGTGAGCCTTCGTTCAAATGCTTTCAGATCTGCAAACAAGCGGAGACATTTGCGGGAAACGGGAAATCCTCACTCAATTTTTCATAACATCAAAGGTGAAGTGAATATTCTGCAAGTCACTTACCTTCGGTAACTTGCTGGCTCGCCATGACAGAACTTCCATTTCTTTCATCACCACAACGCATGCTCAACATTTGACGGTAGATTTTTGAGCCCACAAGTGTGATTGGACAGAGAAGTATAATGGTGGCGCACGCGCTCTGCGAGGTGCCGAGAATCTAAGATGGTGTCGTACTGGAGGCAGGCTGGTCTAAGGTAAGGATATCTTCGATGGTTTTGGTTCATTTGTTAATTTTAAGAGAGGGAAACATGCAAATACTCTTGTTTAACTATCCTGTTTGGTTGTATTCGGAAAGTAACAAATATTTGGTCGGTATTATGTGAAATTTAACGACTAATATTTGCCTAATGACGTTAAAGAATTTGTAACCCTCTATCATAGTTCATACTACAAGAATCCCTCTGCTTACAAATACGATACTCCTATGTCACACTTTTTGGCATGGGTTAGAATGATAAAAGCTTGGTGTCTTACCAGGTAGGCTTGGGCAAAAATTTTCCCAAAAGTGGGTTGTACTGGTAAACAATGAAGATGTAGAATTGAGATTGCTCTATTGATGGAAAAATATTAGACAATGTTCCCACCCTTGGGATGAAAGAACCTCAGAGAAATATCTCGATCGTTTGATTGTGGATCTTTTTACATCAGAACGATGTCTCCTTTTAAATCATCTCAGATCCTGATGCACCAGTGGAAATTATACATTTCTCAGGTTTTTTTTAATGCCAAGTAAACATTAATTAAGTGAGGAATTATTTGTGTTGCCAGCCTTCTTTGTTTGTGTAATAATGTACCTATCACTTTCCAGCCTGAAGGAAGGTGATGATGTTTTATATGCTAAAGTCTTTAACAAATAAGTCATTATTTTTTTTTGTTGTAGTTATCTGAACTATTCATCTATCTGTGCAAGGCTGGTTAGAAGATGTCTCAAGCCAGAATTACGAGTAGAGGCTCTGAAACGGGAAGATTCTCTTATGAAGTCTGTTAAATGGGAGGGTGGCAAGCAAGCTGGGCAAGCAAGTTAGTTGTAGTTTCTTTAGCTGGCGCTATATTAGGAGATTTTATGTCCTAATTGTAGCAAATTCGATCAGTAGGAAGATTGTGTAGGTATTCTCCTTTACAAGATTTGGTTCTTCAATTTTTTCCTGGATCTCACTTTCAAAAGTCCATGGATATAATTTGGGTGATTTGCAGTAGTGAGTGAAGAGAATTTACAGGATCAGGCATCAGACCAGTACCAGGGAATTTTATTGACAGTCATCTGCCTTTTATTTTGCCAATTGCAGTGCACTGGGAATATTAGGTGACTTTTTTTTTGGCCATTAGGGCTGACATACCAAGGTGCCTTGTGTATCACAGGCTCTCATTATTTATCAGTTAATTTATGATAGAAGCATAAAATGCTATCATTACAATTAGCTTGTGGTGTGACAAGGCAGCATAAAAATACTGTATGACATTTCAGTGTTATTGATATATGAATTTATATATGTTATATATTTATACTTACAGAAACTATCAGCCAGTGATGACAGAAGGAGTTCTTCAACATTTACTTGAGTGTCTAAAATGGTTTAAGACTGAATGTTGTGTGAGAATTTCAATCTCTAGCATTCTTGAAGGATTGAATGTAACCTTTTTTTGAATAAATATTGTGAAAAAAGATTGGTGTGTGCCTTGTTTCATTAAATTAGGTATGCAAACAAGTTTCTTTCCAGTTCCTTCATCTTAACACCACCAAGGAGTAATGCCCCATGGGGTGCTGATCCATCACAGGTTACTCCCCCTTCTTTCCAAGTTTGTAATAGAGGAGTAACCATGGAGTTTTGGGTGTGCAGAGCTGGTCTTTAAACCCGGTGGCAATTTGGAACTCAATGCTACTCCCATTATGCTGAAAAAGAAGTGCGGTGCCATATGAGACAGCAACCATGTCCAGCCATTGGTGAAATTGTAACTTAAAATAAACATTCACTTTTAAAGCGATGTCTACCTTGGCCTTGCTGTCCTGACTATTTAAGGTCAGTAGATGAGAGAAGCAATAACTAGAAAAACCTTTTTTATGTGGGTTACACAGTTGCTATGGAATCTGGGATAAGTCATGGCAAAGTCAGCCATTTGAGTTCCCTGAAGGCCCTATGAAATAATTTTTTTTAAGTGAGAAAAGGGGTCTTATTGAAAACTTGCCTCCAACTAATCCTCACTCAAACTCAATAACTCAATCACCTTACTTTTTAAAATTGTCTTTCTTATCTTCATTTGTTAGAATTTTTCTGTTCTCAATTTGAAAGAGAAAGAGAAAGAGAAACTTAGGTTAATTTTGGAATTGTCTGGAAAACATGGAGCTAGGAAGGTAATAAAATATAGAATGAGTCTTAAAATCATGGCACCTGAGAAGTAAAATGGAGACAAACTAAGTTGTGTGACTAAGGGAAAACATTACATTCTCTAGCCAATTGAGGTGGTAAGATACTCTTTTATTTCAATATTTTCTTTATTTTGGAACTGATTAAAAATTGCTGATAACTGAAGTCTTCCACAATGATAATATTTTAAAACTATTTTAGTAATCAAAAATGTAATTATCAAGTTACTAAAAGATGTGCCTGTAGTTATGAATAATACCAGTGTGTGAAAATTACAGAGAATGTATACATCAAACTGTATTCACTCTCAACATGCAAAATATAGTGGTCTGCCACTTAGTCTGGGGTTTCCAAAACTTTTACTAAAGGGCTGTAAGGAGAAACCAAAACATGAGAGCCAGCATGCAAGCTAAACAGACAGTGGTAAGGTCTTCTATACAGTGGCAAACTGCTACTTTGATAAAACTCCTGCTTGGCTGTTTATCTTTCCTTTGAGATGAATAATTTAAAATCACAACCACATGAATCACACTAGCAAACAAAAATGGAAAAATTCTGTAATAAAGGTGACAAAGGAAATTGTCTGGACTAAAACACAAACTGCCATTGATTAGTTAAGCCTTTCACGCTAAGACCAGCATACAAGTTCTTCATACTGTTCTCCATAGATTTCCAATGTTGCTGACAAGGAGAATTTCATGATCAAGAGCCTTCTTAGTTGGTGATCATTTCCTTGATTCTTGTGTCCTTAATGTGTGATTCAGGAGTGATATTTTTAGGGTAAAAATTAGATGCTAGTCATTCTGATAGGTCAAAGGGTTCCAGAAAAGAATGCAGTAAAAATTAGTACCAAGTAGGTCACTCTAATAGTGTATTCAAACCAGAAATGTCTTTTCGTACGGTAATGTATGAATGAACAAAATCTTCGCATGAGTTACTTTTAATTCTTCACACTGTTTTTCATTTAATGGTAAGGTATCTCTTAAATCTGCTTCTTATAGTTCTATCAAATATGTTTTTTAGCGTTCACAGCTTTGAAATAACATTATCTCTTCACAATTCCATCATAATGCAGAATGCTGGTCACAGTTTTTCCAACACTGATTAGCACTGAGTATCAAATATTTGCTAATTAGGGCATGACTTCTCATGACCCAAATGCTGCTAATTCAACTCCAATGATACATTCAACAAAGTTCAAAATAACAGTAATAAGCCTATTCCTAATCAACAGTAATTCTTTAAATCTAGGAAAAATATTCAAGTATTCATGGAAACTCAACCTTCTGTTACATGTCATTGGTCATTTTGTGGTATGACATTTAATAGTGCCAAACACACACCGACTTGCCTCTTACTTAAAAGAAACTAATGGCTGATTTTGCAGTTTCTCTGAGTCTCTCAACAGCTTCCTCTGAGACACGAAGACAGCCTTCAATACCAAGATGTGTCAAATAAGGCAGTTCATTCAAAACACTTTCAATACTAGCATCAGTGATTGACATACAACCAGTCAGACTCATGTCTGTCAACCCTTTTAAATGCCCAACAGCTTGCTTGATCCCTGCATCAGTGATAAGATTTGAACCCAGATCAAGTTCTTCTAGGTTTGAGAGAGATTCAGATGCCTTTATTAGACCTCTGTCTGTTATTTTACATCCTTCAACACCAAGAGATACCAGCTTAGGCAAATGTCTGCTGACATAAACAAACCCTTGATCTGTTACTTTGGTCTGGTCTAATGTCAGCTGCTTGAGTTCCTTCAGGTATTTTCCCACCTCACAAACACCTGATGAGACAAAATCATCATACAATTAACCCTTTGATTCCCAAGGTCAGATGGTTAATTCTCCCCACTAACTACGCATTTCCTGGTAACTTAGTAGTGAGATCTTTGTGTTAAATCAAGATGATAGCTTCTTCCTGATAAGCTTCATTATTCTCATTACCTGTTTGCTGAATAATCTATGGACATTGTTGGGAGAACTTAAATGTAATTCACTTCTAGGAGTTAGCCGTTTTAAAATAAGTAATTGGTTGAGTTTATCTAGCTGTTCAATGGTTCTTAAATAATGAAGTGATGAGGAGTTCTGCTGCTCCTTTCAAATGGAAACATAGTCCATTGTGTGACATTCCCTAGCCCCTCTCCTTCATTCCATGTGGCTTCCCTGATATTCACTGGTATCAATTGATACTCAATGATAACACAGACACTGGGATAATAAATGCCCAAGAACCCAAACCACATGACATTCTGGTGCAGTGAGCATTGAGGAACCACAGTATTCCAAATTAGAAACAAATCTAGTGAAACAGATTTTAATACATGGTTTAATTCTTTCATTGATTTACCTTTGTTTGAAACACGCCTGCAGTAGGACAAATTCAAATGCTGCAATTGAGTCAAGTTGAAGGCAAGAATTGCAACACCTGCATTTGTCACTCCACAACAATCCATCAAATCAAGACTTGTCAGATTCTTCATGAAATTTGCAATGTATTTCACTCCCACATTTGTGAGTTTGGAATGAGATGACAATATCAAAGACTTCAAATCCTTTAAAAATGGAGCCATCCGTGCCATGCCATCATTACTTATTTCGCAGTGTCTCAGGTCCAATGTCTTCAAATGAGTCAATTTGCTGGCAATTATTGCAACTCCTCGGTCTGCTAACTTTTGACTGCTGAGTGACAATGACTCAAGATTCTGCAAGTGGGAGCCAATGAGATCTGCAGTGCTGTCACTGATTGTTTCCACATACCCAACATCCAACACCTTCAAATTTGGCAGGCTTTTTATCAGTGTGTGTATAGCAGAGTCACTGATGCCATCGCAGAAGTCAAATGCTAAACATCTCAGCTCTGTTAGCTTGGAAATATCCAAGAACATATTTTCAATGTCTTGAACATTGTTTGCAAAATGCATGTGATCACCACCACCAAAAGACAAGTGTTTGATTTTATTCAAGTGCTTTGTCACATGGCCAATACCATCACTTGTCACAAATGGACAATCCTTGACATCCAAAAAGGTGACACAAGGCAGGTTCTTCGCCACTAATTCAACTGCAACATCAGTTATCCCATGACTCCATTTAAAATCAAGAACAGATAAGTCTTTCAGATTCTCCACTACAAAACGGATACCAAGCACAGTAACCCAGTCACAGCCCCGTAAACTAAGCTGTGACACTTTAGGGCAGCAGTGTGCAAGTGTCTTGAGACATCCATCGGTGAGGCCTTCACACCATGTTAAATCTAGCACTTCCAGTTCACTTAAGTGCTTGATAAAACCTTGGAAACCAGTCTCAGTGATGTTGTCGCAATCTTCTAAAGTGAAACTTTTCAACTTCTTGAGTTGTGGACCACAAGCTTCTAAGACACTGTCCGATAACCGTCCACATCTCCTGAAGGAAAGATGTTGCAGTTGGTGCAATTTGGGAATTTCAGATTTGAGGAACACCTCGCTAACCTGAGGGCATCCGCCTAAATTCAAATGAGTAATTTCCGGCAGATGAGTAAAAAGAATTGACAAGTCCTTACTGTTCGCTCTAGAACAGTTCACCTTTCTTATTCTTCGCTTGCTCAAACTTTTGACGAGCGCCACGGAACATTCCAAAGGTAGAACTATTGTTATCCCACGCCATAACGACGGAAGGTAGGACACTTTATACCACAAACGGCACACTTGAGCGGCAGTTTGCTTCTCTGACACGTCCAGAAACGAAAAGACAAGCGCTGCAATATCTGGAATAAGAGGGCCTTGATGATCCACAGAAATATTCATTATGTCTTCTTGTCTTTAATCTCCGGTATTTTCTGCACAGAAACGGTATGCAAAAGAAGAGGAAGCTATGCTTTAACCATGGTCTCCATGTGATATCTCCCGGGGGCAACGTTTTCTTTCTGTCAAAAAATATTCATACACGAACCATTCAGTTGTTTAGAAGAATGAAACATGGTGGTTGCTCATAACTAAGGAGCCGGGCGGTGTTTCGAATGAGGGACTGGTATCGAACCACCGAAGTTGTCCGAACTTTGACGAACTCACCATTTTCAAAATGGAGAACGAACGTCAATCGAACGGCGAGACAGCGTTAAGTATCAACGGAAAAGTTCCTGTGCCAGCAGAATGCAAGTTTACCTTACACACGTTCTCTGATACGCTTCTTGATCAAAAGGTTCATTTTCAAATTCTTAAAATGACAGACAGTTTGTATGTTTGGATCGGAACATCTCCGGAAATGGATGCTCTTGCTGTAGCCATGTGCACAAAATACGTAAGTGGTAACCACCAGACATCTTAAATGTATGAAATGCATTGTTACTTCCAGTGCATGTTAGAAATCAAGGGTTAGGTTGGGGAAGGGGGAAAGGAGTAATGAAAAGCTGTTTCTCCAACGTGCGTCTCTCAATATGAGCCGATCCATCAATGTCTCCTTTACATACAACTAGTCATGCTAGTGTTAGTTAAACGCCCAAGAGTATCTAGAAATTAAGGGTAGGTCAGGGGGGAGAGGTGTAATGTACAACTGTCACTGTGTGTCTCTCAACATGCCAATCCATCCAAAGTTTCCTTCAGGGAAAGGTTCAGTTTTAGTGCCCTTGCTGAAAACCAGAATACTATGATTAAGCTCTCATTTGCAACACTAATTTGGGTAGACAGGGGATGAAGGGTTGGTAAATTTTTCACGAATGTAAATTTTGGAGCATGGTGCTTATAAACGTCTTTCTGGAGTCTCCTTCCCTTCCCACCCCCTCCTCCTGCCTCTACTGATCAGGGAGAGAGAAGAGAGAGATCAATTCCATGAAAATATTTTTGCACTATTTACTGTGACAGGATCCAGTGCCATCTGTTGTCAACCTTATAGGAAGTAAAGCTGATCTAAGCTCAACCACCTTGGCACAAAGGCTTGGTAAGTTAATAGGTGTCATTAGTGCTGTCAGTATCTTTGTGTTCCAGCCCAAGACACTTTGCTTTCAACATAATACTAGAAATGGAAATGAATTTTTTCTCTCTTTCACCAATTATTTTTTTTCCCATATGAGAGTGGACTTTAATAGCAACCTTCTATGATTCTTGAAGTCACTGCAACTATTAAGTAGAATTGCTCTCTTTAATTTCAGCTAAGAAGACCAACAAACAGTGTTTTGTGAGCTATAACATACCAACAGAAAACATGCTGCTAGGCTTAGTGGAACAAAGAATTAACCAGGAAATAAAGGAAAAACCACAGCTGTTCTAAAAAGTGTTTAGCATCCCTGTTTCATGAGAAATACAGGTTCTTTTCTGCAATGAAAAGGGTAGTTTGTACTCCAATAATATCAGAAGAGGAGCCAAGAGAAATTTGCTTCTGAAATGTGACACCATCGAATAAAAGACAGGATTTCTACATCTCCAGCTTGATAGCCAAATTTCTGAGATGGTCACTACCTAATACATTAGAAATCACACTTTGGAGTTGTGAATTGATATCAAACTTGATAGAAATGACTACTAAAGTTGCATATCATGGTCACTGTCGAAACATTTAAGACTTTGCAAACCTGTGAAAAGAAGACAGTTCACAAGGCAGATACATTCAGAAATAGAACTGGAACTGTTGGTTTGGTTGGTTTAAATCGGAGTGTGCTGGAAATTTGCACCAAAATTTAGTTATCACACATGTGTGAAGAGGAAGGTTTCTCAGCTAACAGCTAAGCTAAAGATGTTGTCAAATGTGAGTTTTGCCAAAACAAGGGAATCATTCAGGTCAACACAACAGTTTACAGGATGAGAATAGCCTGTTCAAGGCTCACAGTCAGTGGGAATGAGTGGAGACACAGGGAAGCCACCTTTGCCGCCTTTTGTAAGCCTGCTCTTTTTTTCATTTCCATTCACTGAGAGGTTGGCACAAACAAGAATAATACAAGAGATAGCTTTTAATCTTTATGATGTCTCAAATAAAAACCTTGTTTATCAAACTTCTACAACTTTCTCTCCTTGTTACCTATAATGATGAGATATTCACCTAGTCATGATGTGAATCATTCAGCTGCTAGGTAAGTAATGGAGTAATGATGTAAATCTTGATTGCTCAGCTTTTCTGAGCAATAGGATGTTCCTATTAAATTTCTCAACCATCAAAGTGATAAATGAGAGCAAGACAGATATATGTGCCCAGTTTTGTAACCCAACAGTACAGGAGGATATTAACATACTTCAAATTACTGAATTATTTACTGGCACCATGAACAGGCCAGATGAAGTGATTCCTGTGGTCTAAGAATTATACTTGGGAGCAATTGCATGTTCTACAATTCCCTTCTTTAAAACTGCAAGACAACCCTTTTTTTGTTACAGGAAGCAACTTTTCCCACAGGTTTGGCAACAACAAATATAACGGTATAACATATCCTTAATATAGTCAGAACGAGGGAAAGGTTTTTGGGGTTGTGTATTAATAGCATAATTTATTTGAATCACCTAAAACCATAACCAATGTTATCAACACAGCTAATTAGGGGAGAGAAAAATATCACAAGGAGCAAATGAGAGTTCAAGTGGAAGAATGTGAGTGACCAAGTCACAATAAATTGTTTTCAGTGTTGAATCTGATTGGTCAAGAGGATGATGGGCATTCTCTGGACCAATCACACAGGAGTATAAAGCAAATCCAAAGCAATCTGGATTACTTACAACCCTCTAAATTTACTTTATTTAACAATTCTTATCCTTAACCCTTTCCACCTTAACATCAGTAAGCATATTCTCCATACTGTTCTTTATATATTTCCTAAGCTGTTGATAAGGAGATTCCATTTCACAATCAAACGCATCTTTTTGCGATTATTTCTTAGATTCTTGTAACCTTGATGTTTGAATCAGGGGTAATATTGTAAGGAGAAATTAGATGTCACCCTAAGGGATCAAAGGGTTAAATAACCAAGCTTGTGTGCCAAAGATGACTATATGTTGGCTTTACACTTTGTTTCTTCTAAACCAAGTTGAAAGTGAGGCTCAAAAATGAAAAAGAAAAAAGGTTTCTGGATCTTGGAAAACCTGTAAAGTCGTGGAGTTCCATCATATCATTTTGCAGGCCTGTAAATTCATGGAATTTGCGAGTGGGTCATACAGAGACATGGGAAATTTCCTGAAATTAAACTTTGGGGAACAACTTATTAAAAGGCCTTCATGACTTGATTGTTTTCATTCTATTTGGAGTTACCTTATCCTTTAAATGTGAAAATTTCAAAAGCTCACTCGAAGGTCACTGGAAGTCATGAAATTTTTGTGATTTTCGAAAGAATATAAACCCTGAACCCATGCTTCTGTTTCTACTGGAAGTAAGAATTGAAGCACAGTTGCTTGATATGAAGTTTAATTAGTACATCACTTTTGCCAAAGTAACACTAAACATCTTGCCCATTAAATTTGAGTAACATTACACTGTCAGAAGTGGAAAACACTTGATATTCTACAAATATAAGCACTTTATTTACAATTTAAATGAATTCAATTTAGCTCACCCACCACAATTTATGACTTTGTCAACAAGCAGAGATTATTCTTTAAGCATGTTAAACTTTCCCCTCCATACCCTATATGCCACTCTTCTGCCAATCTTTCTTTATCAACAGTACTGATCAGATTGTGAGATAGTTCAAGTTCTGCAAGACAGCATTCCCTGTCTCCTTGTGAAATTGCGGTTTTTAAAGCATCAAAGAATGAGTCATCAAGAGGTGACTGAACTCCACAAGTAGACAAATTTAGCTTTCTGAGGGTTTTACTGTCCCTAGCTGCCACAAGCAAACCCTTGACTCCCACAGAGTCAATGCCTTCATTACCAGCCAGAACAAGAGTTGAAAGTTTGCAGCTTTCCCTCACAAGTCTAAAAAACAAATTAAAAGCATGAGATTAATGTTAACCCTCAGTATGCTTATTCTTGATATTGTTTTATACAAATTTCTTACTATGTTGACAAGGAGAATTTGTACTTTTTTAGAGAGCTTTTTTCCTCAGGTAAACTTCAGCAATATAGGGTGATTAGTATGCAAGAAATCATTGTTTTGAAGTCTGACCTTTCCAGGAATGGCAATCCATCAGCACCAATTTTATTGCAACTCAGATCCAAACTGAGAATTGAGAATATATGTCTAGCTTTGAAGAGAAGCTCCAGGTCCTTGTCACCAATAAAGCAATCTCCAAGAACCAGATGTGAAAGGACACAGCCAATCTAAAAATGCACACATCATGTTATGCTGTTAAAACTATGAAATCTCAAAGTAATGTTGCACTGAACACTCAGTAATCAAATAATTTCCAGTGCACATTCCAAAACAGGAATGGTGTAGATTATAGAGTTTACAAAATAGCATTTTTATGGTACTGAAGTGCAAATCATTAGATTTCTGTTTGCAATGTTTGAAACAAATTTTTGAGAGGACAGAAATTTCATTAAAATGTCCATGTTTCAGTTTATGCTGTGTCAAAAATTCAAAGAACCAAACTCAGTGATGCAGAAATTTATCAAACTACAAAACCTCTGACAGTGTGAAAAGGAATGTCACTCTTTTCAACAACTGGAAATTTACACATGCAGAAATCTCAATTGAGAGCTAAAATTCTCTTCTCTAATTGACAGTAAGTATTTAGCTTGTACATACTTCCATAAATCCCTCTATACTTTGGAAAGCCAATTGATTGCCTTGATCTTGCAGCGATGAGGTTACATTCAGGTGATTCAATGACTCAGATGGAAGAGCTCTCATCAAATCTGTTATTCCTTGAGGGCCAAGAGAATTGTAGGCCACAGGCAATTGTAATAACTTTGAACCTGAAGGAGTAAAGCATACGTCATTGTGCTATGAGTACATTGCATAAGTTAGTGTTTCCAGAGTTATGTGTAACTAGCCATGGTTAGAGTAGAAAAAGTATGATCTGCATTTTAGTACACCTCAAGAAATCTCACTGTTGAGATGCTTATAAATAATTTGACTTTAAATAGATCACCTTCTAGTACAAGCTAACAGACTCCTCTAGGACAAAAACAAAAAACTCACTAGTTGAAGCTTAAAGAAAAATAAACGTACCACCAAATTTTGGATAATGCGATTGATCATTCGAAGCATTGATGGACAAAGGCAAAGGGAGAGGTTAATGTAAAATGCACTCTCAAAACAACAAAAACACAAGGCTGGAAAATATCCCCTTGATTATTCTCCTCTACACATGAACCCTTAATCTTAGGTTAAATGTCTTGTCACAGAGTAGAAATCAAAATCCTCAGCTAAGGTAAAATCTAGATTTAGCCCTAGTTATGATTTGACCCACTAGCATCCACTAATCTTTGTTAGACTCACATACTCTTAATTACAAATTCACCTTTTAAGGCTGAAGCAAATGCTTTTCCCTGGGCAACAACTTCATGAGTCAACCCACAAGATTCTATTCTTAGAATGTTTAGAATAGGACATCCTTTAAGAATGACAGCCAGTGAACTACCTGCACTGTCTCCCAACCAGTTATAGCTGATAACAAGTTCCTCCAACTTTTGAAGAATACAGTTCTGGAAAAAGACAACAGCATAGTGATAGTTAATTGTAAATATTTCTAAACTGAAGCAATGATAGTAGTAAAATTCTTATATAGAGCACAATACATGCTAACATGATTTAGTGAGCTTCAAAACTTAGCTCAGTTAAAATTGAAAAGCTTTGAAAATATTTTTGAAATACAAATGTAAGTAAAATTGTAAGAAACTTCCCTTATAATAAAATTCTATTAAGATATCTCTGATAGTAAGCAATAATTTTGCTAATGTTCTCTTAAAAAATTTCAATAACTTAGAGTGGACCATTCACAGTGCAAGCTTCAGCTAGTCTTGAAATAATGACAAGGGCTGAAAGGATAAAGTCACCAAAACTGCAAGAAATGTGGGTCACTACTTTCAAGACAAGGTAAAACAGATGCCAGTGACATATCTTCCCCCTTTTTGGGAGCCATTTTCAAACCTGTTGTGGTCCTGAACTCAGTGATTCCTTGGAAGTCAAAGCACCAGCAACAAATGACAGTCCTTTGTTAGTTATTCCATTGGAGGCCAGGTCCAGTACAGCAAGGGAGGGGAGAGTTGGGAGAGCTGATACTAGATGCTGGATGCCAGAGTCACCTGGATGAGAATCCAATAATAAAAAATACTTTAAATTGATCAAAAAATTTCATGTCACTTTGTTCATTGAGTTACAATGTAAATGGTGGATCAATGTAGTCATAAGTTTGAGAGTATCACTGGAACCTCTTTGTACATACCTATCCTGTTCCCAGGCAATGAGAGCTTTGTCAGAGTGTCATGACACTGCAGAGCTCTGAATAGAGGCAGCACAAAGATATCTTGTAATGCTTTGTTTACTAGATGGAGGCTTGACAAATGAGGATCTGCTTCAAGGATGCGAAGTACATCTACCTGAGGTACTAGGGACAAAGAAATAGGTGAAAAAATGTCAAGCTTTAAAATCAGGCATAATGAAAAACAATATTTGATGTATGCTTAGTGAGGTAAAAGATTTCTGATCAGATTAATTCACTTTTTTAAGGAATGAGATATCCAACAAAGATGTTGTGGTGTTATTAATGAGATACAAACTAGTACTTAAAGTGTTTATCTGTGATCCAGCACTTTGGTACAGTGTTCCAAGCTCCAACCATTGGGTTGGCAAGGCAAGTAAGAATTTCAAGATGTTGCAAAAACCCTGGATATTTAGAATGTAGAGTGAAAGGAAGGGAAGGGGAATCCCTTGAAAATCCACCAGAAAAGTTACGAAGTAAAAAAAAGCTTTAGATTATTTACACCATAGAAAACAACACAGATATATAATCTTCCATGGACAAAAGATTTGTCAAGGCAAGCAAGCACAGCAAATACGTCTGACAAAATACACAAAAAGGCAATACTAAATACAATCAAAGTAACTAAATAAATTGCTTTTTTAAGACTCCTCCTCCTAAAACTTTGTAAAGTATAATTTACCAGTGTTGGTGTTGAGACATGCATCATGATATCTCTCTGACAATGCAGGCAAGTCCCAAGATTCCACTGATGCTATAACTTCTTCATTACTTGAAAGTACATCTGTGATTTTATCCTCCACTGACAAGAAAGCACCCTCCTTTGTTTTCAGGGCTAAAACAGGACGAAGGCCAGAAGAGGAAAAGTACCTGAGGGAAGCCTTTGAGGTAAAAACAACAACAAGTACCGAAAAATTAGCACATCCAAAGTGTTGAAAATACTTTAATTTATAAAGTTATGCTAGAAATCTAGAATACTGCAATTGTGTCATGAGAGATCTGTAATGTAATTTAAATTTTGCGATTCCATAGTGAGGTCCATAGTTTGAGTGTAAAATTAACCCTTTACACCCTAACATCAGTATGCATATTTGCCATACTGTTTTCTACACATTTTCTGAGGTGCTGACAAGGAGAATTTGTTTGAGAGCTGGAGCTTCTTACGGTTAGCAATCACAGCTCCCTTCATTCTCATGACCTTAATGTTTGGTTCAGAGTGATATTGCAAGGAGAAATCAGATGCTGGTCACTTAGGGGTACAATGGTTAAAGTTGCTACTCTCCTTCTCTCTCTCTAGAAAAAAAAAGGTCATACACCTGTTTGAGCATAAGTTTATTCATATCCAGCAAAATAAATTTCATTAAATGAAAATAAGTTAAAATAAATAGATGAATATGGAATGAATGAGAAAAGATGTAAAATCCATGAATTATTGGCCCTGAGCAATTATTTAGGCATTACACTAGAGATGTAAGCTCAAGAGAGATAAAGCAAAACAAACCTGCTCAGCTAACCATCCAACACTCTTAGCTTCTTGTGTATTGCCTTGAGGACATGGAATAAGAAACATTTTATCCTGCACCCATACTTTAAGGCGCATGGGTGGAGTTCCTCCTGGGGTTCCTGTGTGTCTTGAACTTGCTCCAGGAGAGTCATAAACACTAGTTCTTACACCTAGAACAGTAGATGTTACCTCTGATCCAGATGGTATCGATTTCAAAAGATCATTTTGAGACCAATGATTTGTCACATAATTATCATGAGACGACATGGTATTACTTGGACTCTCTGGTGCTTTAGGTTCTTGTGATACAACCAATCTTGATTGCTTTGGGCGAGGCCCTTTGTGAGTGTTACTAAGACTTAACCGATGTCTTGGCCTAGATGCAGTTGCCGTTTGTCTGGTGCGATCAGTTGATCTAGCAAGGTTTGTGAGCTTTGCTTGACGTTTACGTTTTGCCCTCCTTGGTCCAACATCATCCACAAGCCAATCTGCAGTCTTTTGAGAAATATGAGATGCTACTGAACCAGTGTAATGGCTGCTAGTATCACTTGATGTTCCTATTATGGGATCAGTTATCAATGCACTTAACCCAAAATCAGAGTTTTGATCATTCAAATCAACCATTTCAACACCATTCTCCTCATCCATAGATGCGTAAGTACTATCATCATCACCAACATCAATTCCATTATTGTGAACAGCATCAAAGGATGCTTCATCACTATCACAAGAAAACATGTCATTAGCACTGCCAACCACATGATGAACAGAAGAATGTGCTGGCTCACCAGAAGAACTAGAAGGATACGAAAGGACAACTTCAAGTTGGTTTTCCTGCGAATCATCATCCTCACTTATGACAGCTCCTTTGCTCAGGGTCTTGGGAGGATGTGGTTCATCCACATGGCCTTGGTTGCTGTTGTCCAAAATTTTTTTGTTCATTCTCTGAAGTCTTTCAATCTCCTTCTTCATTAATTTATCATTGAATCTTTGCAGAGCACTTGTGCTCTCTTGAGAAGACTCATCTGCTTCTTCATCATTATCATCATCATCAAACACTACATTTCGTCTCCTTAATTCTGAACTAATTTTAGTTGCTTTGTGATTGCGCAGAAGTTTTACCACCTGCTGTCTACCAGTAGACAGTTCATCATCAGCTTTATCAATATTGAGTGTCTGGATGGCTGCTTCCAAAGCTGTACGACCCTGGTGATAAAAACAAACAAACAAACTAAAAGCAGAGAATTTGTACCAGTATGAGTATTATTAAACTGTACAAACAAACAGAGCAATCATGAAATTGTCAAATAGAAAGATAATTAATGCCATTTTTATAATGATGTAAAGTAGACACTGCAGCTGGACCATTAAAAACATAAAGCTCAACTTCAGCTTAATCAGGTTAGGTATGAAAAATAAGCATAGCTTGAGATATTAGAGTGAAAAAATTTGTGAATCATGGTCAATCAATCCTTCCATTCACCACCAAAAAAATAACTGAAACAATATTTCCATCTACATAACAATGTTCCCTGTTTTCACTCATGCAAAAAACACCAGTTGCTCAACACTTTATAGGACCAGCAGAATATTAACCCTTCAACTCCCAGAAGTGATAGACATGTAACTTTTCCCTATAATATCAATACATTATCCAACAAACGGGTGAAGTAAATATTCAGACTTATTCAGTGCAAGTTTTTATTTTGATCCAGTGACAAATTCTTATCACTAATTTAAAAGGAAATGTGTGGCAGGTAAAGGGGAGGATTAATGATAAAATCATGGGAGTTACAGGGTTAACAAGGAGAGAAATTACAACATTTCCCAATTTTTTTTCTTTTTAACTTTTTAAGTCCCAATGGATATTGCAATGGAGAATAAGAAGAAAACTAATTCAGGAATAATATTCATGTATGTCTGAAGGCTGTAATTTTTAGTAGTTCTATTTTTTGGGAGTATTTTACTATACAAGCTATTTTTTTCGCAGATCAAAGACAATCCACGAGGATAACACACAAAAATTACCTCATTTTGTAAAACCTCCAAAGCATTCTTACCATGTAAACTACCTGACTTATGATGTACAATGATTCTGCGCATTTCTCCAAACTAACCTTGTCATCTTTCAGATTGATGGATGCTCCATGAGACAGCAAGAGCTTGACAACATGAACATGCCCATTCTCAGCTGCATCATGGAGAGGTGTCACTCCACAGCAGTGTTCACCACTCTGGTCATTAACATTTGACCCTGCCATGAGTAAAAGCTTAGCCACCTCTACAAATCAAAAGGTAATATCAGTTTCTGAGTCCAAAGGCTCATCCAGTGGAAGCTTACAATAGTACAAAGGCACTACCAGTATTGCCCCCCCCCCTTTATCCTCCTGTGGGATGCTAGTCTATTATAGGTTTATCCCTTTGGTATTTCAAACAATTTTAGGTATCCTGACCATTGGCTGGCACTCATTTATACACATGAGCCCACTGTTTGAAGGGAAGGTAGCACTATCCAAAGTATTAGTTGCTACCCAGCTGATAAGTGTCAACAAAATGTACTCTACTATCCACCAGACGGGAATTTATCCAGTGGAAAGCCTTATCCACCCAATGAACAGGGGCCTTGTTGGAGAGAAGCACAGTGAGGGTTAAGTGTCTTCTTGCATCCAGGAACACAACAGAGTGATCCAACAAAAGCTCTAACCTGAACCTTTCAAGAAGGGGTCTAAAACATTGTTGACTATGCCAATGTATCCCCCCTCCCCCTCCAAAGAAAAATGAACACCCAACACCTTTTAAGTCACAAGATTAAATCCAACAATCTCCATGCAATTTAATCTGAGAATGATCAAGATCCTCCTAAATCAAGTGTATTCTGAGACTGACTGTTTCCAAGTGTATGCAGGTTTTTCAGTTGGTTTCATGCAAGACAGGAAAGTGAACAGAACCTAGGTGACCATGGTTGCAAGCCTCATGAAGTGGAAGCCAGCCACAGTAATCTCTTGCATGGACATCAGATCCCTGAAAATGGACATTAAGTAAACAAATGAACATCCTTTGTAGAGCATTGCATCAATATACCCTGAAGCACATAAAATGTTTCATTTACATGAGTATTAGGAAATTCTTGGGCTACTTAAATGTTAAGATATATAATGTATGGTAAAGTCATTTTCTGAATGTTAACTTAGTTTGTACATTACGTCAGCAGCAAATAACTTTCACACTTTCCAAAAAACTAACAAACGGCTTGAATAGCATTCACCTTTTCCAACAGCTCTTTCACATGTTGTGAATTTCCTGCAATTGCTGCCTCATGTAGTGGGGTTTCTCCTTTTTCATTCACATATTTTCGCTGCCAAAAAGCAAAACAGAAAAAATAAATTAAGATGAAAATTTTATTTATCAATTGAAAACATACCTCAAGGAAATGCACTATATTTGTTTAAGCTCTTCTTTTTTTTCCAAATGGTTTGTTGCTATTGTGAAGGAAAACCAATTACTGGTACTTGAAAAATATTTCCCAAAAGATCTCACTTGTGCAAGAAGCTGGCTTCTTGATTTATGTTTTAAATTTTTTACCCAGCAAAAGGCATTATCGTATGATATAACTGCCACCTGATGGAGTCTAGATCACAAAAGCCATAAATAAATATTTACTTAATCTTCAATACATTTACAATATATTCACCTGGCCTCTTGTTCTTACTTGTCTTGAACTATTCCTTGATCTGGAATCTTCTCCTTCATTGTCATTATCCTCATCTACATAGAAATACAAAATTGAGGGGAAATAAACTTAGCCCTCTCCTATTAAAGCTACAAAGATGATTACTCTTTGTTCAGAAATAAAAAACCATTTACATTTATTAAAAAAAGCACCTTGATATTGATTAAACATAACCAGAGGCAGTAAAACAAAGCATGGATTGGTCGCTAATATTATTTAGTTTACCACTTGAGAAAGATGTAAAGAAGTAATAACTGATTTTTTTAAAATTAAATCATTACATATTAAAACTAAACATGGGCTTATAGGGGCTTTGCCTGTGGGCTATTTATACATTATTTGTCAATAGAAAGAACTACCCACTGCTTACCAGATTCTGAGAGAAGTAATTCATTTTCAATCAAAACTTTTGCAAGATCTTCATCACCATTACTACTTCCTTCTTCATCATCGCTGTCATCACTAACAACTTCAATATCAAACTGTCTTTCAAGTTCTGTAACTTTGGAAACTGATGTTTGGTACTTGTCTTTGAGATCAAACATCTTTTGTGTATCTGCTAAGCATTTCCACACCCTCAGCTGTTCAAAACATTAACCATAGATAATTAGCAGAGCTGGCAGCTTGGATGAAGAGGTTTACTTCTGTCAATTTATTTTCTGGTTTGCTTTCTTTTCAAGTAACTCAATCCAAAAGCTTATAATTAAAATACCAAATTCTCAGAACCAATATCACGAGAACTGTATGGATGATGGCAAGGAGAATTACTAAATTAAATGAGAGGAGGTGAAAGGGTCAATCATACTTCCTGATGATTTTATTCAAAATTATCAGAAACCATAACCATTTCTACTGTATCAATCCTAAATGCCTACAATGTTGCTTAGACCCACTTACTTCGTCCATATCATTTAAAAGTTTCCTCCTAAGCAAAGCTTGCCTATAACCTCAAGGGAACATAAGTTTAACACATTTAGTTTTTATTCCTACCACAGCTTGTGGTTTTCCAGCTTGTTTGGCATAAGACAAGGCCTTCATGTAGGCATCTTCAATCTGTTCATAATCATGTCCACTTTTATCATGCACATATGCAATGTTACACCACGTGTCGCACTTCTACAAAACAACATTAAGAAAGCTCTTAGAGGACTGTAACACATCATCAACTTCAACTAGGACCACTTTACATTCTTCTGACAACCATTAAACAGGGGTTTCACTGAAAGCCAGTTAATGGTGGTCTACCACTGTCCATAAGACCTCTTGCTGCCTTCTCTTTCAGGCTCTTGTCTCTGGCTTTTGCCTTATGGCACAGCCACCTATTAATAACACCATTGGCAGCCACTTATAGAAAATTTATTGAAACCCCTGCTTGTTAGACAGTTTGAAGCAAAGGCATTGGACCAAACACAATAATGGTCAATTTTCTCAGATTACCCAGTAGACCAGGTTCAAAGGAAAACTTTGCTCTTTCTGTCTCCGCACTGATAAGGAGAAAAGAGCAGATGGATTATTAAAAACTCAATTCTACTATTACTACAGAGGACCTTAAAGAACAGTACTATAAGCTGCAACCCTTCAGGCCACCATAGCGATTGGGAAACATTCTTGGAAATTTAATCAACAATCATATGGGAGTCACAATATATGGCAAACTGAGTTTTGCAGTCATGTAGCAAGCTGTACCATTTAGTTAATACAAATAGGAGTCTATGGTCAAAAGTACATAAATGTGAAATAAAAATTTCAAATATTCAACTTTTACTCTCCAGTTTACCTTTTTGGCATCCCCTTCTTCCAAACTGAATGTTTCTAGTTCTTTCATGTAGCAGTCAATGGCATCTTGAGGACATTTGAGGTCAAAGTATGTTATTGCAAGGGACACAAAAATAGGTGACAGCTCTGTGCCAGACTTCCCTGCACATTTGGCCAAATCAAGCTGCAGAGTTGAGACATTTTAATAGTCAATTAGCCTTGAAACCAGTAAGTACTATCATTGAATCTCCTAAAATTACCACTCTGCTATATTTTGAACCCCTCATTCTCAAAATAAGCCTCATAGTTTTTAATTATCATTTTTTTTTGCTTACTTCCTTAAAACGGGGCTGCTACAACTATGATTAATAAGTAATAAAAAAATTTCTTTGTCAATGTACATGTTTGCACTGAAACAATTGAACAATATAAGTGCTCAGATTATTAATTTTGACTTTCTTTCAGTTCGGAATCCATTAAATTGCATAAATTTTGTCAATTTTACACACAACTGAAGTTCACTAAAAGACGGTCAGATCAATTACAGAGTTAAAAGATTCACCACTCATATCTTATAGAATTATACAATTTTTTCCCTGTATTGGTGTTAAAACCAAGTCCAGTGGTGATTACATCAAGAGAATTCCACTCGAGTCTAAAAGCATTTATTATTAAGAATTTATTTGCATGGTGAACATACAATACAATGCAGCTATTCTATAAATTGAATGGAAAAGTTACCTCCCTCTTGTAGAAACCTAAAGCTTTGCGGAAAGACCTTGCTTGACAGTACAGATCACCAAGGGTGTCCAATATTTTAATTTGTTCATCCAGAGAAAATTCTGAGAGTTTAGCCCATTTTCTCTCAAATCTAATTCCCTTTATGGCTACAAAGACAAAACAAGAGAAAGGATAAGAATGCTGTGGTTTACTAACTGACATATGAAAAAAAATGGCCTCAGATTTGGCTTTACCTGTTGCTAAACTTGATTTCAATTCCTCTAGATCATCAGATCTCTTGGTCTTATTAATAATGTATGCTTTCTTTAAATTACTACGAGCAGCTGAAAATTCCCCCAGCTTGAGGAAAACCTAACAAATAAGAAAGTACACATCAACAATAAATCTACCACTGTAAATGGTTTGAATACATGGGTAATAATTGATCATGCATTCTAATTATCTGGATAAGGGGGATCATGAAAATGACTGATGTAGATGACAGTGATTGACATTTTGACAACCTCAGCAGCAGTTGTCAATAGAATCACACCAGGAGTTCTTTGCTTAGGATAAGCTTAAGTTTGGTTTGTAAAAACTACTTGGCCAGTTTTAGTCTGTCAGTGAAGATATGTAGTTCAGTTTGCTTCCCTACACTAATGCAATGAGGAAGTTATTTGTGGGGCATTATAGTGCTGTTGTTTCTGAGGGGTCTTTTCCAGGTCCGCTTTCAGCCTGGCAATTAGAAGTTTAAATTGATGTGACCAAGGCAGGTTCTGATGTTGTTATTTGAACAATGAGACAGACATAAAGCCACAAATAAATTTATTTATACAGGTCCTGAGCTTGTAGGTGCAGGTCTTGACACTCTGAACTACTGAATTAAACTAACTAACTGTACTACTTTTATAAGGAATCAAACAATAGCAGGAAATTCTTATGATTTTGAAGCTAGGCGTGATAGTGTGACATACAAGAAATTTATGATGCACATCCTATGTGTGGGATGACTTGATTATCAATAGGAAATAGTTTCTGCAGATGTAACTCTAAAACTATGACAAAAATGTCATGCATTTTGTGAGCCTGGTCACATTAAGTCACAGTTCAACTTAATTTGCAGAAATGTGGGGTTCAGTCTTGTTGCGACTGACAGTTGTATGTCATGAATGACAAAGTTAAGTCACAGGTTTATTTCTTTCTGAATTATTTAATAGATCATCTAATACCCCATTCACCCCAACACTTAAACATGAAGTGGTAAATAAAAGAGGTTAACTCCTAAAGTACCTTTCCCAACAAAGCCAAAGCATCTGCCTCATCAAACTTGTTGTTTCCCTGTCTGGCCACCAGTAAGGCCTGTTCAAAGCACCTCAAGGCATGTGCATCTTGATCAGATTTCATTTGAATACCACCAATTGCTAGCAGACAGCGGTACTCAGTGTCCCTCAAACCTTGATCTCTGTAAGTGTGAGAACACAAAGCCTCAGCATGGTAGAGTGTATTTATTGAAGCTTGCTGAACTCAGATCCACATATACTTTTAATTCAAGTATAAAAAGGCTTACCAGTTGATCATCATCAAGAATATGATAGAGATCAATAAACCACCTCAGTAAATTTTGAAAGCTGATGTTTCAAGCATTAATACCATTGTAAATGGAATAAGAGAGATAGTGAGTTTTTAGCGGAGAAGAAATAGAGAAAGATGTTTTTCATCTTGTTGTGAGTGTGGAACAAACAATATATAGGCATGTGTAGCATGCAAGAGTTATTGTTAGCAAGGGTGGAGGTTTGTGGGTTATGTACATTTTACAGGGAAAAATTTACAACTTAAACAAGAACTATTTCTTGTTCCTAAGATGAAATCTTAATTTGAAAGATAAACTTTTGTTCTCAAGTTTGTAATGTTTCCATGCACTTGATATAACAGCCACCATTCTACTTCTTTAACAAACTACCTGGTATTTTCATTCATTGATTTTGTATCTCTAATATCTTAAAACAGATGATCATGTTACACTTGTTTATATCATTAGCCTACTGGAATGGAAGCTCAAGGCTGAGTTGAGGTATTTGCTAACCTAGGGGGTTGCCATTCTATTAAGGGGGGAGGGGTTTGGCATTCTATCTGGGGGTGGGGGAATGGGTTCTTGATAAATGCAGCTGGAAGCCTCTACCAACCACCTAAAATTTGCAAAGTGGCATGAGTTAAGCCCATGGTATTGCTTAGTGCTATGCTTATACATTGTAATGTAATTATAGTCTACAACATTAAGATCACTCATCAATTATTATACATTGCACAGAGAAAAATTACCTTGCAATGATCAAACCCTTCTCCATAAAATTCTTGGCTCTACACAGATCCTTCTGGTTTTCATAAATTATACCAAGATTGAGATACAATCTTGACTTCATCTCTAACAATTCCTTTTGGGAAACACTTCTGTGTAGTTTGTCACAGACATCTAGACTTTTCAGGAATGCAGTCTGTGCCTCAAGAAGAAATTCTTCCACCTCGTCACTATTGATTGCATCATCTGAGTGGACAAGCCATGTGCGCCCAATGGTGGCCAAGGCCCGCTGTTCTTCAACAAGATTTTTTGCTGACCGAGCAAGCTTTTGTGTGTTTAAAGTAAAAAGAGGAGATTTGAGTAGTGGAAGTCTTGTGCATAAAGCAAGTTTACCTAAAAAATATTGTGATTAGCCATTGAGCCACAAAGATGTGTTTGTCAAGTGATGGCTCTTTATCTGTATTTTGCATCCCCAAAAAGCTACATAGTGGCAAAATCGAATGCATTGGAGGAAAAGAGCAGTACCAGGGCCTCATCTGTGTAGGTCACTCTCGCTACAGTCAACCAGGATGATGATAATGTTCTTAAATGAATTGATGAAAGTGCATAGAAGAACCCCTCATTTCCAATAAAAACTAATTGACTAAGGCTCCATTTTAAGTTAGCTTTATCAGCATATGAATAATGTCTGGGATGAAATAAATACAATTCAATTTAGTAATTCAGAGGGAATATTGAAGAGAGGGCATAACATTGTTGGCAACAATCTGTTACTGAGATTTACCTCAAGATGCAAGTTTTGGTGAAACAGAGCCTCCTTATATTTTTTCAGCGCACACAAACACTCTCCCACTTTTCTGTGAGCAATAGCAGCTCCAATAGTGTCTTGACTTGCTTCAGATAACTGCACTTCCCTTGTGTGTTCCTTAACAGCCTTTTCATAGAATCCTAAGTAAGTTGAATGACACACTTCACTTTACATCACATGATATGCACCATGCTAAGTTAAGTTTAAATTATCTTTTAATCAGTTTTAATCTGAATGTAGTATGGGGTTGTGCGGAGATCTTTACAAAAACAAAGCGGTAGTCCCAAAGTCGCCATCGTTTCCTTTATCCAAGAACTGTGTGCATAATGAGGTATGTGGCTCTCCGGGCATTTTACCCTGAGTTATGAGTTGATATTGATTATTAATGACATTTACCTCGTTTTATTGGTCGAATTCGTTCTGTTAACAAGATCTCACAATACGTAATCAAGTGTTCTCACCATAATGGAAAAGCATTTCCCCAACAGCATTGCAGAGTTTAGCCTCTTCGGCTAGATCACCTTTTTCCTGCGCTTTAAGTTTTTTCTTCTTGAGCTCTAAATAAAAAACGGGCAAAAAAGAATCATGAACACATTAAGACCTTCAATGTTTAATCTCGTCGATCTGTCTCCATGTGAACTTTACTTTAGATCTATCGATAGCTAAGACGCTATATATCTTTGAGTTGTTTGACAAAAAAAGCAAGGCAAAAATAAGAACATACGTTTAAGCTCCCTTTCGAAGTTTGCTTCCATCTCCAGTGATCGGTAGTGTTCATCTATTTTCCATATTATTGAGAATAGAAAAAGTTATTTTTTCAGAAAACTTCCATCGACGTCTTCAAAAATGGCGGGTTTTGCAAGACTGGTACTCAGTCCACAGCTGAATAGCCTCGTACAAGCCTCGCTTTGATTTGGGAGCGACCAAACCTCCCACGATTCTCTTCGCTCGTCATCACGATGTTTATTGTTGACGAGGTCAGGGGACTTTGACGATGTATTTGGTGTCTTTACTTTTGTGTTTATTTTTAATGTCGCAACAGGAATCGATTAGATTTTAGCTCGGGAGGGAAGTACAGCTCAGGATTGCTTACTCAGTTATATAACTGTTTTATTCCGAGCGCGTATAATTGTCAGCAACGGGTATTTGTTTTGCCCTCTTCGAATTTTACTTGCGGACTTCTCAAAATGGCGTCCGTTTTTCGAAAACTGGTTAGACGTGAATCCCGCAACGGAGAAGGTAGCGATAAGAGTGGGTGTAAAACAAAGGGAAACTCGGACCTCAAGAGCGAAAGAAAGGATGGGGAATTTAGCAATCAAACTCAAGAAAGCAGTACAGAAACAAGACACCTAAATTCTTTGCCGGCGAAAACCGCAGGGAGTAATGGTGTGAAAACAAGCGATGTGAATGAAATGTCTTCCTCTCATGCTCAAAGGGTTCGAGCAAAGCGACTCATGAAAGAATTTCATGATGTAACTGTGCGTTGTGACAACAAATTATTTTCAGCAGAACTTGTGGAGGATAATCTTTACGAATGGAACGTGAAATTATACAAAATCGACACAGATAGTTTGTTATATAGGGATATGGTTGAAACTGGAACCAAGTTCATTCTATTGAATATTACATTTCCCGATAATTTTCCCTTTGCGCCTCCGTTTATGCGAGTTTCTGCGCCGCGAATCGAAGGAGGCTTCGTTTTAGACGGTGGAGCGATTTGTATGGAGCTATTGACTCCCAAAGGATGGAGTAGTGCTTATACTGTTGAGGCTATAGTGTTACAGTTCTCTGCTGCCGTTGTGAAAGGTCAAGGACGAATCGACCGATCAACCAAAAAGGCATTCTCTAAGAAAGAGGCAGAATCTGCTTATAAACGATTAGTGAAGACGCACGAGAAATATGGCTGGGTAACACCACCGAAATCAGAAGGTTAGAGCTGTAAGAAATGTTGTTGTCAATCCGGTGGAGGTATTTCCAGTGGATCCTACTGAATCAAGACCGGCTTATTTTCAATTCGCAAAATTTCTAAATCGATATTGTGGTTCTCTGGTCAGCAACAAACATTCTGCATCAGGCTGATTCTAAATGAAGTTTGCACTCATTGAATCACTCAGAATTAAGAGATTGTCAATTGGATAATTTTTTTTCGGAGATTCAGAAATTCTTTTATTTTTGAATAACACATCACTTAGTGGTAAATGCTGAAAAACAGTAAAATCATGTTTCATTTATTTATTTCAAACTTACTTGTGCCTCCTGCCACATCACATTTTCTAGTCAGGTCTTAAGTAGTTTTTTGGACAAGTTCTATTCAAGAGAAAGTGGATCAATTGGAAATTCAATCATAGAAAAGGTATTGATGGAAAGTTCTGTTAACTATAGGCCTCTTTTTCTTCTTATAGCACAACCTTTTTAATGTGTACTCAATAAAATAATGTATAAAGTTATACCCAAGTAAAAATTAAAAAAATGAATAGGCAAAATTTTCCTATTGAAAAGCAACCAGCAGATAATTTGTAAATATGCCACTGCATTTCAGTCACAATTCCTTTTTTTTGTTATTTGTTGTGCTATAGAAGCAGTAATTTGATTCACACAGCACTCTGTAATGTTCCTTTTCGTATCAGGAAAATGTGTTGTGTTTTGTTAAATCCCTTAAAAATTAAACTGATGTCAAATTAGACAAAATATCAACTACAAAGCTATAAAAAATAATAAATGCATTTGGCTTTCATTGTGGTATGGAGAAGTTAATGCAAACATTACATTGCCACCTGCACCAAAGAATACAATGGCTTTATGAACTGCTTCTTTTTTTTTTACATCATCAAGTAAAATAGATATCACTGCAGAAACTCTGTAAAGTAACAAAATCAATTTTCAGAAGCATAAACCACATGACACTGCATTAAGTGTTGTAAGTTATATTGGAAGGGTATTTTTTATAGTCAGATGTGTCATCAGATGTGTCAACAGATGTAATTACCATGTTTCATTCTGATAAGCCAGTGCAAGAACAGGGGAACCATTAGCAGTGTTAATTGTTTGGTATGAATGCTCTGGAAAGTCTTTGTAATTCAAATGTATTCCCATTTGAAAAGCTCTTACTAGCAATTCCATTCAACTTTTTTTTTCTTTTTACATAGGTATGGTTACTCTTAATGAGTGGTGTGAAAAAATGTCTTCTGGGAATGGAGTAAACACATTTTATTATCAATTAAATATTAAACAAAATTCAAAATCTTTTTAAAGGAAATAATTGCTTTTGCAAATTTAGAAATCTATCCTCAAATTTTCAAGTTTTTCATTTGAAATCCTTGTTCACCTCAACCATTCTTGCCTACACTCATTCTTTTAAAATTTTTCTTGCCTTACTGGAGATTTCCTTCTTGTTAAACTACTATTTTAAGGGTTTTCATTTATTGAAGGAAATTTTCTGTAGCTGTGTAGCATGAAAATTTTGCAGGTTGTCCTAGATTTGCAAAAAATTTGTTCTCACAAATTGAAATACTATGAAATGTTTGTGTTGCCAGTCCAATGTAGAACTTTGCATGTAAACCAGGTAGCGCTTGGTATTCAAAATTGGACTTAGGAAACTATCTGTCTATGAATCCACTATGAACATTTAGTTCCCCACAAAATAACTAGATAATTTTGAAAAAAAGAACTTATAATAATTCTTTCTTTGGAATCTCCTCCCTGAATTTAAAACTGAAAAATCCATTCCCAGCTGAATTTTCAGTCTTCTTGAACTATAAAAATTTGTGGCTGTAAAGGACCTGAAAAATTACCACTCTGCAAAATTAACTTAAGCTCAATTTCATGCATCGTGGTTCACTTAATAGACCAATAAACTCAAAATTTTTATACTTCAGCAAGACAGTTCCTTTAAGATTGCTTCTAGAAGTAATGAGATGTTGACCATTCATTCTTGAATGTAAAAAGAAACTCCAAACGAAAATGTCTAGTGAGTAATTTGCATTGTAATTTCTTTCCATTATTTTTTACGTTAAGCTACAATTATTACGATTGTCGCAAGTTTCCGTTCATTATTCTAGTCAGACTCTTGGGAACCAAATGAAGGAATTGATTTTAAATCACTGTTAATCTCTATATATTGTGGTTAATATTTCCGTTAATCACTACACAAATTATGACGATCCAAGAGTAACCTTTGTTCCATCTCGTCAGTTAACACTCTTGCCTTGTAGTACTTCTTTCTAATGTCATACGCAACACAAGTATGGAAATTGACCCTTGCAAAATTTTCTGGCAGCTGCGTGAACTAATGTCGTATTAGTAATGAGAGATTAGACAACTTCAAAATGAGCCAACCCTTAGCTAGTAGTGGTCTGCCTCAATTAAAAAAAAAACATACTAAACCTTATTGAACCTTTTGGATATTGATTATGCGTATACTAGCCATTGCAAGGCTCTTAGTGAGTAATTACAAGGGGAAAGTGGAAACGCGAAAAAAGGCAGGATTAAAAGGATCGAAATGTCGCGATCTACATCACACGTGACTACATCGTGAGACAAACGAAAAACTTCGCTTTTAAGGCAGGATTAATTAGGCAGCTGATTCTCTCGTCTCCACTGACTGAATTTCGTTTTTTACCTCAATTATTTAAAAGATAAGTAAACTATGATGAAATTTGAATAATATTGTGAAGTTTCACATGTAACATTGATGGAATTGCAGAGTTCCAGGACGCCTAGCTTTTTAGTGGCCTCTCTCTTTCCATACTTCCTGATGCCTCGAATGTGAGATTTGTATAGCTTACTTGGGCGTAGTCTTCTTTTGCAGGGTTTGTGTTGAGACAGTCATTAACTCGTGGTGTATTCTTCCCTTCCTGGTTACTAGAAACGTCAGTGAATGAATTGCATGTATCTTCATCACGACTCAGTCTATTAATCCTTTGGGGAAATTGGTGAAAACGTTCCGGATCGGTGCCCCTTCTTTGGAAAAAGGAAACCAACACGCTGCTTTGTAAGATCTTCGGTGGAAGTTTGATCAAAGTTTTAACGTAACTTTCTATGTCCGATTTCCGTTCTTCTGCAAGAGCTAAGTCACTTTTCCTGAAGATTTTTCTCCCTAAAAGAAAAGTAATAATATCTATTTTATTAAAATGCTCCAACAAATCCAATTCACCGGTAGCTCCCTTCGCGACAAAGTTTCAATATGTCACGCATTGTCCATAAAGTCACTTCCAATTAAACATTTATTATTGTACCTTAGAGTAGTTCCACACGCGTGAGCACTGGTTGCATTAAAGCGTGAAAGGGAATAATTAACCTAAAAAAGTCAATTTCCCTTGAAATGGCTAATTTTTGAGAGTTTCATACCCCCAGTTTGTGTCAAGTGAAAACATCTCCGTGTTGTCTCGGAGCCTGCATTGGTAGCCTTAAGTTAGTCATCAAGTGAGTGGCTCCCTAAGGGTCAACAGGTATTCCGGCCCAAAGTTAACTGTTCAGTCATCATCTTAGTGTTATATAGTCGGAAATAATGCGATATGTGCTATCAAAATGTGTGGCTTCATGTGATGCTCATATGTGTAGACCAACCAAACAGCTCCGTGCTCTAAACACCGATTTCAATTTTGAGCACCCTCCCTATGCCACGAAAACGAGCAGTGAAACCCCTTTTTGCTGCTCAGCTGCCTTTATGTTTCAGCCGCACCTGGGAGGTAGGGAATAATCCTTGCAGATCCTCTAACAGAGCCAGCTTCCTCAGGAAAAGAGTCCAATAACCTGCATTGAAACTCAAAGAAATCATTGTAGCTCCGCCAAATGTCACAACTCGAGCCGTCGGACCAATCCACGTAAAAAACAAACGCGTATTGTTTCTTTTTACTTCCAACCAAGCGTTCTTTGATTGAATCGAGTTCTGCCCCAGTGACATATATCATTGCTATACCTATCGTTTTCGTCGTTCAAAAAGTCTGTAATAGCAGGATGTTATTTCTTCTCTCAGCCAACTGATCTTTGAAAATATGGTTTGGTTTTTTTCAGTCACACAATTGTTGTAACGCAAGTTGCTCGCGGGTTTAACAGCTTCCGGTTAAAACCTTAGGAAGGAAGTCACCGTTTTGTGTCATATTTTTTTTGAGAACCTTATCTGTGATTAGCAGACAGTGTCGCTTTCCTAGGAAATGAGAAATGTTATAGGCAGACTCCGGTGAGATTTACGGACATTCTTTTTGAAGAGTTTTTTTTTTCCAGAAATATCAATTATAGAGCGTTTCGTCGATAAACACCAAAATTATCCTCTAAATGGGTTTCTAAAATATGGAATAAAAACTTTAAGAGTTAAGTGAAAGTAAAAACTCTGAGATTCAAAGATAGATTTTACTTCGTATAGGCATTACCTCTGAAATCATTGTGAGGGTTAAACATCATAAAATCTGACATGCACAGAAATATCTCGAATATTTAACCGGAGATTGTTAGGAACCCAACAGGAAGCAACAAAAAAACCGGAAGTAGCTGTGAGACGTAATTGCGAATTGCCGTCATCCTCTCTCCTTATATGGGAAGCGGAATACATTATGGTGGCTCGCCTCTAAACTAAATACAAGATTTGCATAAACTTTCCAGACAACACACTTCTTTTGAAAGGTCGCAGAAATTCTCGGACGGATTTAGCAAACACGGAGGAGATCAATGGCTAAAATGTTACTGTAATAAAACGCTGTGATTTTCCGCGAGGATTTAATTTCGGTGTTGTCACACGCGCGTTGTAATGGCGGATCATTTAGAACTTGTGGGTGAAATTCCGAAGGTCGAGAAACTTTCCGTGCAAGATCGCCTAGAGCTCGCAAAGAAGCGACGATCCCAACAACTGAGACGATGGGAAAGAGAGAAAGATGAAGAATTTGGTCCGCCACCGCCTAAAAAGAGACCTCAACGAGCAAAACCAGTGAAATTCGAACCTAGAATTATTCTGTTGGAAGCCGCTTCACGAGGTGATTGCGATGAAGGTTGGTACAGTCTAGCTTTTGCACCGTGAAGTTTTGTTTGTCGATGGTAGTTATGTCTTCAGACTCTCCATATATATTGGGATTTTTAGATTATTGATGTTTCTCATCCAGTGAAAAAGATGCTTGATTATGGAGTTGACCCAAACTTGGCAAATGACGACGGACTTACTGCTTTACATCAAGTAAGTGTTTATAAGGTTCCATGCACGATCTATCGTTATAAATATGCAGCTCTAATACCGAGAAAATCTTGTTTAGAAGCTTTGGAACTTGATTGGGTGCAACATTTGACAACTAATCTCCAAACTGGGTCTGTGTTTATTTTTGTTCAGTATCAGAAAATTGGTGTTTGTTTTACAATTGAGCTAAATCATGTTGGAACATAACATTCAGTTGAAATTAATTTTCCCTGTCGATATTGATAACTTAGAGTTTTTCTGTTTTCTTTTGTATACTATCTTGACTTGAAATCTAGAGTACAATTTTTTTTTCTTGAAATGTACAAGTGAATTAATGAATTTACCTGGACGTTTTTGGTAAATATGACGCACGAGCGAGATGGCATGAAATTGATTCACCTAAGCGAAGCAAAAAGCAATTTTATTCCTCTTAAAACATGATAAAATCATTCTTAGTCGGGGTTTCCGGTCGGTGGCTCGTGGGATTAACGTAATTTTAATTTCTAATTACATTGCGACGACTTTTAAAAGTATTATTCAGATTAAATTTGGATATTTGGCTGATTGACGTAAAAAGTAACCGCGACAAATTACTGAGTCATGGCTTTTTCGTTAATTTTTTCTCTCAGCTTACAATATTATTGAAATTCTAGAGTCAAACCACTATTTTGTTGGAAATATCAAATCATTTTTGCTTAGTGGTGCTTTTTTCCGTTACAAAAAACGTCTCGCATAGATTTCTAATCATGAAGCTAGTTCATGTGTTCATTCTCAGCTGGAATTTCATCTGTTAATTTGTTTGCTTAGTAGGCCGGTCTGGAGATGTTTACATAAGAAAATGTAATTTTACAAAGTTCTTCTTTCAGTGTCGACTAGATTAGAACTCTTGATATTTTTTTGCAATAAGAAACCCTACGAAATATGACCTTTAATTCAGGGTTTCTTGAATTGGCTTTTTTTATTTAAAATTTTTCTTGCATTGCTGAAAGAAATTCGCCTTAATTATAATTGGTTCAAACGGCTTGGTGATATCTCAACAATTTTACGTTTGTACTTAGACAGAGGTGATAATAACCCATCAAAAGCACGAAGTAAATGAAATATGTGCACCTTTAGGTTTTTTGTATTGTTTTGTGTTCTTAAGTTGGGTGTAGTACTCAAGAATCAAAGGAAGGTCTAAAATTGAGGTCAAACCAGAGATCAGAAAGTGACAGTTTTTGTTTGTTTTGTCAAAATACTTACTCAACCCTCCAGCTCTTGGGAAAATAGAAATGATTTTAACAAAATTCAATTGATGTTTCTTGTTTTGATTTACAAGTACTTGATTGATGGCCCATTTATTCAATATAGGTAAAAAAAGGGACTTTTCTAAGTAGTTTGATTTAAAAAACAAAAAGTAGTTGGAAGTCTCAGTGAAATTAATCACTGTCTGTATTGTGATTGATTTTTTTTTGTAATTTTGCAAGGCGTGTATTGATGAATGTGATGAGATAGCAGAACTTCTTGTGGGTTATGGTGCCAATATTGATGCAGAGGACCGTGAATTGTGGACACCTTTGCATGCTTCAGCTGCATGTGAAAACTATTCAATGGTCCAGTATTTAGTGGAAAATGGTGCTGACGTTGTTGCTATCAATGCTGATGGAAACTTGCCAGTTGATTTGGTTGAAGAAGATGATGACCTGAAGAATTTCTTACATGAAGAGATGAACAAATATGGTGAGCCACTTTTTGTAAATAACTAAACAAAAACATGAACTGCCCTTTTAGTCATATAATATTTGATTGACAAACTACTCATAGATTCCAAAAAAAGATTTCTTTAGATGACAAACCTTAAAATAAGAAAATTTTTGTGCACAAAGTAGATGGCAAAAATGTTCTGACAGCTGGCAATATCCCACTGCCTACTGATGACAATCCTGAACTTTTCAAAGACTGGGCCTGAACATAGTTAAGTTTTGATTGACACCGCACATGAGTGCAGCAATGCATGTCACTTTTGAGGGTGTGTTCTTTTTCTTAGAAAATATGTAAGAAAATAAAAAACAGGTTTGTTTATAGAAAGAAAACCTGTAATTGTGACATAGTCCACTAAACTTCTATTGCCATGGAGGCATTCCCAAAAATTTAAGAAATTTTGAGTTAATATTTACAGGACTTTACCACAAGTTCAATAGTGTGGCTCACTTTATCATGATTTCAGGTTTCAATGAAGATAAGATCAATGAACTTGCTATTTTAAGAGAGACACGAATGCTTGAAGATATTAAAGATGCAGTTGAAAAGAAAAGAGACTTGGAAATCAAGGATATGCAAGGTGCAACAGCGGTAAGTTTTTTAACATTGAATTCTCGCTGAAATAACCTGTGTTTCCTGTTTAGATTAAACTTTTGTTACACAAGTAGGTAATGTCTTACTCTGTTAAAAAAATTTTTTTTCCTTTTTAAATTAGTTACAAGAATTTAGTGTTTGATCAAGAGAACAACATCCACTCAACAAGCTTGGGTATTCTCTTTACCTGTTTGCTGGATAATGTATGGATGTTATCGGGAGAAGTAAAAGGTTAATCACTTCTGAGAGTTTAAGAGAACAGCCCTTTTCAGAACTAGCCCCACCTGGACAATTTAACAGAGCAATTGACTGTGAATCTGTTTAGCTCAAATCATTTACTTTGACATGACCATTCTTACTCATAGTGATTATTTTGTAATCTATGTCATAATAATTCAGTGTTCTTTCAGTTACATATTGCAGCAGCTAATGCCTATGAGGAAGTTTTAGAATTCTTACTTGAGAATGATGCAGATGTAGATGTTGTGGACAAGGATGGGTGGAAACCTATTCATGCTGCAGCCTGCTGGGGAAATGTAAATATTTTGATTTCTTCTTGTTAGACACATTAATTGAAAGCTTTTTTTTTTCTCATCAGTTAGCAACTGACTCATGTTTGAGCCCAGGCTCATCGAGATTTGAAGCACATGAGAAGTTGGAGAGCACCAAAGATGCATAAAAGTGTGACTGAGACCAATTCTTATTTCTAGTGAATTATCCCCAAAATTTCCAAGGTGCTTCATACACTGTGTCTTGATAAGAACACAATGAAAATTTGTGGGCAGATTGATGACCATTTACAGGGTTGTTACTAAATGATGGTTAGTGGCAAATTTTCTGAATGAAAAAGTGGTGATTGCAGGCTGGTTTTTTGGCTGGTTAGCACCTGGTTAATTACAACAGGTACTTTGGAGATTACACACTTACAATCATTCTATATGGAATGCTATCTTTGAGTTTTCTCACTTGAAACTTCAGTTGGCAGCCTAATTTCTGAGCTACAACCCTGTAGTTGTTAATGCACAACAGCTGATATTGAATTCCTATGTTTATATTACCTCTACAGGAAAAAGCAATTGAACTACTTGTAGAGCATGGATCTGATCTTGAAAGCAGAACACCTTATGGTGAAGCTCCGTTAGGTTAGCAACATACTGGTTGTAATTTTGCTTTTTTTTCATTCTTTATTTGTGTTCATGGTCTAATTTGCAATCTGCTCTCCATAGATTTATGTGACGATGCTGACGTGCGGCAGTTCATCATTGATCTCAAGGGAAAAATGAAGACGAACAAGTTTAAAGTGAAGAATAACAGGAGAAAAAGGAATAACTCAAGATCGTAAGTCGTAATACAGGGAAGGGTGTTTCTTCACATTTTAAAACAGGCAGCAGAAGCTGAAAGGATGTTGTGAGCACAGTATTTTGATCACAAGTAATTATGAAATAATTATGTATTTCAAATGAGTTTTTAGGTGGTAAGAAAAACATTAAAACACTCTCTTTAAATGTAAACTGATTGTAAACTGATTGTAAACTCTCCTCATCTGGCTGCTACATATTTTCCTTGTACCTTAGTGACAATAACTTTGTATTAGATCAAGGTAAAACTTCTACCTGATAAGTTTGAGTATTCTCATTACCTGTTTGCCGGATAATATATGGATATTGTATGGAGAAGTTGCATGGTTATCACCTCTGGGAGTTAGGGGTTTAATATACTTTCACATGATCATTTTCTGTTAAAATTAACATTGTCAACACTTTCTCTTGTTTTGTAGGTTGTCTGTTAAACGTTCCAGTCTTAAAGAAAAAATTTCCATTTCCCAGAGTGAAGCTAAGGCAGAGGCAATTCTTAGACAACACCCTGAACTGGCTTTCCTCATCGCGGTAATGCAGCTTAGTTTATTAAAAGAAAAATGAGAACAAAATTAGAGCAGAGTCAAGGTGATGATGGTTTAGGCTGATTGTGCCACTGTGAACTATTAGAAAAACAGACAGCCTTACAGATTGAAATAATTGGTTGTGTCAACTCAGTTGATAAAACCAAATTGTGTTTTAAACACCCTCCTCCATTGCAGCACAACAGTTTCTTAATAAGAAACTTACCCCTTTTAGACAGAATGGAAGTCACAAACCTATGAACCCTTTGATATCTGAGAGTGACTAGTATATTAATTGTTATTACAGTATTATGGCTAAATGAAAAATTTAAGTAGTGCAAGTAAAGGGAATGTCAACTTAAGAAGAACTTGATTGATAAACAAAATCTCCTTGCCAGTCCCATAGGAAATGTATTTAGAACAGTAAGAAGAACATGCTGTTTGATGGTAGTGTGTGTGGTGTTATAGTTCATGACATAAATTTGGTTCTTTTTTATCAGAAGGACAAGAAGACAGATGATGGACCAAATCAATTGGATCTAAGTGTAGAAGATCCTACTTTGCCTAAAGAAGAATCTCCTCTACCTGCAAGACCACAGATTGAGGAGAAAAGTGCTGTTACTAATGAGAAAGAGGTCTCTGAAAATTCTACAGCAATGAGATACCAAAGAACTTCAGAAGTCAAGGAGACAATTGTGACAAATACTGTCAATGGGAAAGTTTTAGAACAAGGAAATAATGAAAAGAAGAACAAATCTCTTGTTAGCACAGCAAATAACAATGAACAATTCAACAAGGAAAGATCTAGAGAACCTCTTCCAAAAGAGAGAGAGGTCATTGTGCCTAGACAAGGCACTGATACAACAAACATTCAATATAAGAGCCAAAATGATACAAAAGAGCATGTATTGCAGGGTAAAACAAACTCTAGGTCCATAGAGGTTCCATCACAGATACCTTCAGGTCGTCGTCAACTTCCTGCAGATCCAAGAATACAACAAGCTACAAAAGATATAAAGGTGGTTAATAGTAATCATGCTAGTCAAGGAGTTGTGGCGTCTAAGGCAGACAGGACTCCTGTAAATATGTCTTCTTCAGAGCTTAGTTCCAACTCCAATTCAACAGCACAGTCTGTCACATCAGTGCCTAAGTCTACAAAGACACGAGCTGCGCCTCCAGTGCCAAGATCTTCTGGAAGTACAGGTAGTAGGAACCAAGTGCCATTATCTGACACATCAGGTTACCCAGAGTCATTTTCCAAAAGGAAGTCAAGAGATTCTCGAGAGATTTCAGATACTGCTTTGCAACAGTTAGGTAGGTTCATACAGGTTCCATGCTTTCTGAAAGTCACTTGGCTTACAGCCAAATAAAGATGGTAATTACCATTCCTGTTTACAATTTAGCGATCTCATGTCTGATATGGTTTCTCTTCTAAACTTAACCCTGTAACTCCCAAGATCTCATTAGTAATTTTCCTTACTGTTTGCCATATAGTTCCTGTGATGCTAGTTTGGAAAATTTGGTGTTGAATCAACTAATGATCCCTTAGTTTATATTTTTCTCTATTCTCATCACTTGTCTGCTTGATATTGTATTGATATTGTAAGGAGAAATTCTGTCTTGGTCACTCATGGGAGTAAAAGAGTTAATAGCATTCCAGAATTATGTGCAGTCTGTTCAGTTTTTCCGAGTTTGATGGTTAATCAAATTGTTCCAAGTCGTAGAGAATTTTTCACAAGATGTCAAACATTTCATTAATTTCAACTGTTGAGACATCATTATGCAGATCTAAAAAATGTACTAATTAAGATGGTTTTGTGTCCATTTTTTTGTTCAGCAAAGGATATCAAGGAGTCCAAAGTTATTTCACCATCAGATGTCAAACTATCTTCTGATGCTAAGAATGCCAGTTACACACCCAAACCAGAGACACCCCAACCACAACAGCAGAACAATACTCCAGCAACACTTAATGTCTCACCTGAAACAGCTCCAACAAGGAAAATATCTGACACAAACAATGTAACTAATTACATTGTAGAAGAACCCAGGCGTAAATTTAAACAACCTGCAGGTGCTATAGAAGTGGAAGATCATAAAAAGTCCTGTTGTGTTATCATTTAACACTCCAAGATGGCAATGAAGCACTGCAACATCACAATTACTTGATTGTGTTCTTGTGACAATGTCTTGGCTGCCAATTGAAAGTAGGTGTCATAGCAGTATTTGAGGCAGTCATTATTGAGATAGGCCTCACAGCTTGGAGCACTAAGATGTGAGATAAATTTTCAGCAATTGCCGGGTAGAAAAGGCCTTTAGGTTTTCAGGAAAAATGGACTACTTTTAAAAAAGACTGGGAAAAGTGCAGGTTCTGTATAGTTACTTAGTATACACCACAATTGTCGAGCAGAAACTCCTTGTAGCATCCACAATCAATCTGCGCACACAATCTTTTGTAAGTACAACGAAAAAATATGCATGCATTAACTACATCAATGAAAACATCAAACACATTTAATATTATGGTTGCACACACTGACTTTTGCAATGGACTTGATTGCTGCAGCTGCAATCCTGCTAAGCTACTCTAGAAAAAGTATGTGTTGAGATATTGCTACTCGGTTTAGACATCTCCGGGCAAACCATCAAGAAAAGAAGAACTACAAATTAGCACTGAGTAGCTATGAATACATTATTCAAGGAGATTCATGGAAAATTGGCATGGAAGACAAATGTAAAATACTATTTTTGCTAGTTTATTTCTCTTTCATAAATCTTTCCATTTTGGAGATGTCAATTTTTTTTTAGGTAATTGCAATTAGGTAATCAAGAGTAGTAGAATGTCATTGTACATCTGAGGACAGGATTTCATCATGAACATAAAAAAGGCAAAATGATTTGGATGAAAAATTTAAATACAATAAACAAGTGCATCTTGCAACGCATGCAGACTTTTACTTTCCAGATAGGTGTACTTCACTTGCACATTTTAATTTTTTTACAAAACTTCCAGCCTCTTGGGTTGGTTTGTCTTTCGGTTTGTTATCCATATTGGATTAATTTCTATGTTCTTAAGTATTTTATTGTTAATAGTGAAAGAATTAATTTATGAGTCAGAGCACATATTGTCTTATTAATATAAGAAAATCAGGGGTGGAAAAGGTTCACTCGGCTGTAGAAGTTTCCTTATTTGTCCTTTCCCTTTGATGTAGACATTTGTAAACTTTTGTTGAGGAACACCAAATTTGACTGAAAAGGACAAAATATATTTAATACTTTTTATACTGTAACAGTTACCTATAGGAAACAAACAAAAATGTTTAACCCTGTCACTCCTAATATCTCATTTGAAATTCTCCTTACTCTCTGCCATACATTCCCTATCATTTTAGGATTGAGAATTTGGTCATGGATCAACTCATTGTCCCCTTATTGATATTTTTCTATGTTCTCATCACTTGTTTGCTTAATTTTGTATTGATGTTGTAAGGAGAAATTATCCATTGGTCATTCATGGGAGCTAAAGGGTTAACATTAGATGCAGTTTCCTCTTCTTTATCTTTTTGTGCCATTTGAGACATCATATTTTCATAGCATGTTTTAAAGTCAATTGGTTTGGAATAGTGTCTTGAGAAAAATTAGGTAACTACAGAGTTAGGTTTTGATATTTTAGCACAAGTAGAAGGGAGGAAAGCGGTGTACTGACTTCCTCATGTTGTCACGTAAAGAAGAGCCTCCATTTGGCTTGAAAAATGCACATATATCTTTCTGCAGATACCATTTGTTCCAAGATACAAACACTTTTTCGAGAGCAAAGTTTGAGGAAAAGTGAGCTTTGAGAAACAGATCTAAATTTCTAAGGACAAATATACAAGGATATTTTTAAACCAAATGGAGGCTATTGTATTCATTGTCCTTCAAATATTTTTGCAAGGTGTGGGGAAAAATAATTACAAGCAGCTTTAATACTGTTTACAGCATCAGATGTTCACTTTTCAGCATTCTCTAGTTACTGTATGACTTAGTGAACAAAAATGTCACTTCTTCTAACAACCACATAAGGCTCTCATCTTGAATTAAATTTTTAATGAAGACTTATGGGACATAAGGTTTGGAAATTGGGGAATATCACTCAAGGTTTTTCTTTGGATATTCCCCAGTTTTAGCTGAGGCATATGGGGTTACGTGATGTGCACAAATATTTGATGGATTATAAATTGTGATAACTGTTGCTGGGGTCACTTTGGCAAAATAGATCAATCTGATTATAAGAAACAAGCCTTGAATTTTGTCATAATTCTGTCATTTCTTCTTGCTTTGTTTCTAAGCAGTAGGTTAGTTGGATCAGTGTTTCATGTAGTATCATTGGTTACTTTTGTTTAAGTTGGGACCATGGTAACAGAGGTGGCTCTGTGAAATGAGCAAAAGATAGAGAGAAAATAATTCATTTGTATTTTCAAGTTATTCATGTTGTAGAGAATAAAATTAGAGATTTTTTGACATTGGAATGGTGACTGTTTCAGAAGGCTGCCAGCCTGGGAACTTGATGGAGCTTTGTCCTGATTAAAACAACTTGACAAGTTTTGCTCCTTTTTTACAGAATCATTATGAGCAGTCAATGTTAGTCTCTCCCAGCCCACGACCATTCTCTGATCTTTATGCCTAATCCTTCCTTTCTGCCGTTTTTTAACCTTGTAAATCTGTTGTTTGACAGTTTACTTCTAAATCTACGCAATTTTCAACCCCCCCCCCTCAAAATCAATGACCCCACCCTCTTCTATCTCATAAAAATTTCAACTAAACATTTACTTATCATATCAGAAAATTCTTTATTGACATTTTAAAAAACATTCTAAGAGTCTGATTGTTTGCCATATGTTTTAACCCTAAAACTCCCATAAGGGATTAACATGTACCGTAATTTCCGGTCGTTTACCCGCGGGTAATCTGCTGATTTTGCATTAAACGCGCGCCACTGCGGGTAATAGGGAGGTGCGGGTTATGTGACAATTTTGTGACAAAATAGTTTAGCCTCGGAAGCCAAACATGTTTAAGGATGAACCACACTACTCTGACTCCTTCTTCTAGGTGTTATGTGACAATTTTAAAATCCAGTGGTAGTTGAATTGAAAAAAAATATCACCAACATGCGTTTCCACCTCTCAAGTAAATTTTATTGTGTTAATAGTGCCGCAAAGCGGCACGAAAACATGATGCCGACTCGAGTTTATTTCACGCAAATTAGTTGCGCGACGAACAAATTATTATCGGCACGCGTGAAAACAAAACCTTGATGGTGACAAAAATTATCCATAGATATCCGGCGCATCAGTAACAAATTTCCATTTAACACTAGCTTGAGCTAAAGAGAATTTTCCCGTTTTAAGGGACTTGTTAGGCCCAATAGAACCGGAGATATAGATTTTTTCAGAAATCGCCGACAGTACTTTATAATTCAACTTTTAATACTCACCCAGCTTTTTTTCAACAAATCAACATGGCGCTGAACGATCGCTCGCACAAAATGTGGCCACAAATTCGCATTCTGTCAAGTATGAAACGTTGAGATTTGGGCATGGGCCGCTAGTGTTTTTACTGTATAATCTTATCAATAAAGTACATGCTAATATTGACACAGAATTGTGCACGCGTCTGAATTTCTTTGACCTTTAAACTCGACAAAGACGCTTCGAAGTTTTCGAAAGTTGGATCAGACAACTTTTAAAAGACTGAAATGTATCACCTTAATGTCACGTTTTCGCCACCAAAAAGTTGAATAACAACGTGCGGGTTATCTACCAGTGCGGGTAATCTGGTGACTTTTTTTTTCGCCGTATGCAATAATCGGCCGGTGCGGGTAATCGGCCGTGCGGGTAAACGACCGGAAATTACGGTAGCTTCTCCCTATAACATCAAAACGTTTTCAAGCAAACGGGTAATGAGAATACTCAAAACTTATCAAGTAAAATTTTTTTATCTTGATCTAACACCAAATTCTTGAAACTATTTTACAAGGAAATGAACAGCAGTCAAGGAGGGGGGTGGGGGTGGGGGTTGGGGAGAATTAACAATCAGATCATGAGAGTTTAAGGGCTAAATTGGAATCTTTCAAAAATGTTGCCACTGGCAAATTACAATCTCTGCCCTCTCTTTTACACACTAAGCAGTGAACTGTACCTTATCATGAGTTTTTCAGATAATTTACAAATCTTTTCAGTCAAATCTTTCCTTAAAGGAAGATGGCAGAAAAGAAAGGTTTGATGCACTATCTCCACTGATCACACCCTGGAAATAATGATGCAACTTGCCTATCACATGCTGCTGAGATCAGCAATGTTGGCACGTATGTGTAAACACTCTAGGAAAGATGGCAAATTGGTTGAGTTGAGTGTTATGGAGGAATTTAATTTCCTTCTTCATGCCTATTACTTCATACAGTGCAGAGATACGTGTATAAGACTGCGTTATGCCAACATGTGTTACTGTGAATTAGCTGTCATCTCTCCATGTCACTTCAACTTCATCTGTTCTGTACCTGTTGAGTCAAGTCATTTGCAAAAAAATTCCAACTGAGAATATTGAACTTAGTCAAACATTGAGTTTCAAAGATCTTTGGGAAACAGTAAGTGTTTCATTTAAAACATGACCTTTAAAGGAAGAAAGAAATGGGGGTGGGACGTCAAATCTTGTGATCACAAATATGGGAGTTCAACAGAAAATGAACCCAAGTTGAATACCATTTTTCATCGAGCAATCAGAGATAATTATATCAACTGGAAATCAATTTTTGCAGAACTCTCCTCTTCTTTACTTAATCATGAGCTTTACTTGTAGGTTTGAATAAACTAATGTCTTTTTAAGACTAATCAAACAAAACTATGTGGACCTGCCCTTTTAGCACTTACCTCTGTGTACATGTGGTTTCCTCTAAGGGAGTGACACACCCAGAACGGAACATCTCCCAGCCAGCTTGTGCTATCATTACCCCATTGTCTATACAGAACCTGAAAAAGTAAAGAAAGTCCAGCTTAGCTATTACAAACTTGGCTGGTTTATACTCTGTGCTATTTAAAACAAAGCCTTTTTCCACAGACCTAAAATCAGCACCACTTTTCCCAACTTGTCACAAACAGAATACTTCAGATTAGAACTGCTACACATTTTCTTTTAAATTAGTGACAGCAATTTTGTGTTAGATCAAGATAACAACTTCTAATCAATAAGTTTGAGTATTCTTGTTACCTGTTAGCAGGATAATGTCTGGATATTATAGGGAGAAGTTTCAAGCTAATCCCTTTTGGGAGGTCAAGGGTTAAGAACTTTCAATTGTCCATTGGCTCAGTTATGAAATACATGTATTTAGTAAATGATTCCTCATGTAATCCAAAATATTACCTTTCATCAGTAGCATAAAGTTTAGCTCCCCTTTCTTTAGCCATCACACCTGACATAAATCAATAAATCATTGTCATCATTCTGATGAAACAACTATTAAATGATAAGAATTAGAACTAATACCAGTGATCTAGTACGTAAAAGGGAAGTTGTACAGTGTAACCCTTATGCCCTAACATCAGTATCTACATTCTCAATACTCTTATTTATAAATTTCCTTTGGTACTAACAAGGAGAATTCACTTACAACCAAAGCTTCTAAGGTTGGTGATCATTTCCTTTATGCCCATTATCTTAATGAATAATTCAGTGGTATTACTGTAAGGAGAAACTAGATGCTGGTCACTCTTACAACTTTCTTTTAGGGTATACCATACTAACTCCATCATGGGAATATTCTGGCTTGTCCTGCACAGATTGTACTTAATTTTACCCAATTAAATAAACTGCAAAACAGATAAATTGCCAGTGCTTGTGACCATCTGAACTTACCCATCATTTCTTGTAATCTCTTGTTGCCTGCATGAACAGAAGAAAAGTATAAGCACCACTTAAAAATTATCATAATTAAACCATATCTGTTCCAGTACCACATGCCCTAGGTGTATATTTAACAACAAAAACATTTCATTTTATGGTAAATCTGTTTGGTAATAAATCACAGATGATGTCAAAATGTGGAAAGAACCAAGAAAAGTGGCACACCTATGGCAACAAAGAATCTATTTGTTTCATATCATAAAAAAACAAAATGTTGTTGATGGTGACATCTCCAACAGATCATTCATGTAGGTAAACACAAATCAAAATGTCAGTATAATTCAACTTATCATATCATGTCTGATGAAAACATTGTTAAAATGATGTGAGCTATCACTTAGAGTCAGATTTGTGTCTATGTTCATTTTCTAAACAAAAGAATGAATCCCGATACTCAAGTTCAGTGGATTAAAGCAGATTGTACATTTGGGTATGCATTTACTTGATACAATATATAATATATATTATACATATATAAAGGAAAACTCAGATTCAAAGAAAATGCAGAAAATACTTTCAGATCAGATGTTCTCATAGCAATCAATAAATTGCAAGACACAAATACCACTTACATCCCACTCCACCCACAATAAGAACCTCACTGGACCCACAGTGAGCCATTGCTCTTTCTGAAAAATTAAAAGTTATAAAACAGGCAAACTATGCTTTACTGACTTAAATTCTGACAGAAATGCCATGCTCATTACTAAACTAATAACAAATTTCCAAGTGAATGATGATTTTAGATATATGAAAATTCATATATTTGCACTGCGGTGGAGAGATGAAATTAAGAGATCCTCGCAGCTAAGAACACTACTGAAACTGAAACGAGTAGTTGTAAATTGGACCTGAAAAAAATTCAGGCCCGTACGGGATTTGAACCCATGACCTCTGCGATACCGGTGCAGCACTCTACCAATTGAGCTAACAAGCCAACTGGGAGCTGGTCAATGAATTGGGTACAAATAAATATCCAAGTGAATGATGATTTTAGATATATGAAAATTCATATATTTGCACTGTGGTGGAGAGATGAAATTAAGAGATCCTTGCAGCTAAGAACACTACTGAAACGAGTAGTTGTAAATTGGACCTGAAAAAAATTCAGGCCCGTACGGGATTTGAACCCATGACCTCTGTGATACCGGTGCAGCGCTCTACCAATTGAGCTAACAATTTACAACTACTCGTTTCAGTAGTGTTCTTAGCTGCGAGGATCTCTTAATTTCATAATAACAAATTGTCAAGTCTTAATAGCATAGCTTCTTCATGGTTCCTTCTTCTAACTTTTGATGGTCAGTTGTTTAAGATCTCTGTTTCCTTTAATCTTTGTCACATTTCAGTCTCTCTCTATTGCAAATTACCAAATTGAATGAGACTAATACTTCATGGTTTCCCATACATTGAACTGAAAGGTAATTGCCTATTAAGTAACAGGTGGAGTGAATGATTTAAAATCACTTGGACATAGACTAAAGAAGAATTAATGAATTTGCCTCTTCTCTGAATCTCAACTTATTCTTTTTATGCCAAAACATAAATACTATTAATTAACAATCAATTGTAAAGTATAAATTCACCTGTTGTTTCAATGAGCATGGCAAAAACTGTTTCCTGAGGAAAAAATGAGTTAACACTAAGATTACTCTCATATAACTCTCTCTGTTACATGAATGTGTTTTTGATAAATCATCATCAACTTCCCAGTGTTTTCTTGAAAAGGCCAAGAATTGACTAGCATCTAGTTTCTCCTTACAACATCACCCCTGACTTGAGAATTAAGGTTGCAAGAATAGAGGAAATGATCATCAACTAAAGAAGCTCTTGATTGTTAAACAAATTCTCCTTATATTTCTTCATCTTAGAAAATGTAGAGAGAACAGTATGGAGAAGAGGTATACTGATGTTAGGGTGTAAAGGGTTAAAAACATAAAATACACTGTGACACTCTTGTCATGTATTGAAAGAACCGATGCAGGCTGAATATCCTGTTCTAAGCATTTCGTTGAGTTAAAATAACTTCTAATCCCACAAGTTTGTTGTTTAACTTAGTGTTGTTACTTGTGTTGCTAGGCCTCATTGTCAGTTTATTTCCCTTACCTGAAGAGAGAAGCACAAATCCTCCGGTGTACATTCTCCTGATTCAAGTAATTTGGGTGCCATACTCTAACACAAAACACAAAAAAGTATCACTGACAGTTACAGTTAAGTTAGCATTCAGACAGTATCTCTAATAAGATCAATATCCCTCAACAAGTTAAGAAAATTGATGAATAGCAGTTAGTGAGAAACAGACTTGAAATTAAACGCAACATTCATAAAAACAGACGTACTTCAATGTATGATAAAATTCCTGAAAATGATACATCCATTCCCTTCACTGTGTAAGGTAATTCAATAAGCTTTTTTCCCCTGAAAAAAAGAATTGAGCTTAACATTTCTATGAAGGACCTAAAACAAAGGTGAAAACAACTTAAACAAGTTTTAAAAAAAACTCATATTGAACTGACATTCATTGTAAACTTCAACACATACATCTTCTGCTTCTGTACTTCAAGTTTCTATAAATCAAGGTTCACCTCTTTGCCATTTGTTCTATGTTGTATCCTGGGCTTGGATCATTTGAAAGCTGAAACGTAAAATGAATAATTTTCTAACTCAATGATGACACACACTGGTTTTGGACTATTTAATTTCTAATCATGGCCATGATTAACCTTGGATAATAACTGATTTATAGTATGGCATTTAATTTTTATATGATGTGATGCTCTTAAAGACTTAATTATTGATTCCACTGCTGTTAAATTAAAACTGACCAAAAAGTGATTTTCCTTCTAACTGTACGGTAAAGTTCCTTGAGAGTTATGAAATACGTAAACTAGCCACACAATTTTTTATTCCTGCAGAATCAAAGCAGAATATGTTGTACAGGCAAGATCACAGGAGTCCTAAGCTCACAACTTGAGAAAAAGCAAATTATCAATTTGTGCAGCATCCCTGTATCCAGTCTGGCCATGAAGAGCATAGCCAGAGAGAAGCGAACTTGGAAATACTGGTAGAAAACTATTGTTTTCAGCATAATAATAATGACAATCTTTAATGAGGGAGTGGTTTGGAAAATTAAAAATTTAAAATTTACAATGAATAAAAATGCTAAAAGATGCTACTAAAAACTAATGTATCTTAGTGTAATACAAAACTTAAATCAATGAATTAAAAATCTCGCTTCAAAATATTTACATTATCAGAGGCTCGTATAGTTTTGGGAGTTAAAATCACTTACAGCATGATAGCCAGTTCTTTGTTTGCCCCAGTTTCTTTTAACGGATGGAATTTTGAGGTTTGCTTTATTTCTTGTGTTGTAACTATGCTGTTCTTGCTGAGTGACTAATGTTAGTTCGTGATGCGTGAGACCATTAAGACATTTATATACATGTACGCATCGGCGCTGGACGCGCCTTTTTTCTAGTGTTAACCACTTCAGTGTGAACGCATTGAATACAGTGGTCGATCTAATATTATTTTAGCCTTATTTTGAAGCACTTTAGACATTTTACATTATGTTTGTCTCCCCAAACTAAATCAGCATACTCGAATAAGGGCATAACAAGGCTTTTATAAAAAAGGATGCGCGCCTTAAATGGTAACAAATGCTTAAGTCTAAGTAGGCCAAGCCTTTGATTAACTTTCCCTGCCATGTATTCGACATGATTTGGAAAAATCAGACGATATTAAGATTCCAAGATATTTAAAACAAGTAACATTGTTTATACAATGATCAAAGATTGAAACAGTTAGAGCTATTTTCCTCTGTAACTTCTTGTTACTGCCTATAAGCATGCATTTGGTTTTGTCCAGATTCAGTGTTAACTTATGTTCATTCAGCCATTTCGCCACAGCCAGGAGGTCTTGGTTGAGCTTTTCAGTCAGCTCCTGAGAGGAAGACCCATAGCAGTAGATCACCGTGTCATCTGCATAAAGTGATGCTTGACAGGCATCTAATGCATGGGGAGTTTTTTGGTATTGAGACATGTCCCAGGGTGTAATAATCTTATATCGTAAACTTTGGGGGAGAAAAATGCTAATCGGGAGGATTTTCCGGATGCAAACCACTTCCATGTGGACAACAGTTGAAATTGTAGTGTGCAGCCTTGACTTTGTCTTTTAACAGGAATAGTGATGGGAAAGTAAGCTTAAAATGGCAGAGAATACCAGAAACCACAATGGACACATATGATTCCTTATTATGTGTTCAAATTCTCAACGGTTCCTCTCTTAACTTAACACCACCTCGCTCAATGTGTGACCCTTTCATGAATTTTAAAATTCATGAAAAAATTGTTTGCTTTCTCTCAAGAAGTGAGCTTGGGGTGCCTGTGTCACTACATCTTTCCTACACTTGAAACCAGCCATACAATGACAAAATTTTTACCTTAAGGACTCTTGCAAATCTATCCAAACAGTTCCCAACAGCAATATCAATGGTTTCTCCAAAAATACGATATCGTCGCTCCAAGTATGCAATCACTTGAGTGTTTCCACCACTGACGTAAAGAACAGTAGGATTGACAGCACCTGTTACTAGCCGTCCCATCTCAATGTGCCCTATGCAATGGTTAACAGCCACCATAGGCTTTCTCCAAAGTTGTGCAACTGTTCTTGCAACAACTGCTACAGACACCAAAGGTGCACCCATGCCTGGACCTAAAATGAACACCAAATGATTAACATTAACCCTTTCCAACCTACCATCAGTATGTATATTCTCCATACTGTTCCTCTTACACTTTCAAATGTGCAGACAAGGAAAATTTGTTTTACAATCAAAAGCTTCTTGAGTCGGTGATCATTTCCTTTATTCTTGTGACATTACTGAGTGATTCAAGAGTGATATTGAAATAAGAAGCTGGTCAATCTTAGGGGTCAAACAGTCAATAAAATTTAATCTAATTAAAACTATATTATGAGCTAGAAATTTCTATGACATGATAGTTGAAGAGAGTGAAGTATAAAAGTCAATAGAAAATGATAATTGATTTTGTCTAAATCTAATATTTGTCCAACTTTTGTTTCTGTTTACAACCTCACACTTTTAGGCTACTCACTCCGCTGACTAAGCCAATCAGCTTAGAGTTAGAGCATTTGAGTTAGATTTCTTACTACGTTTCCATATTTACTAAAGAAGACCTTCGTTAACTCTGGTCAAGACTTCTACTTCGACTCCGTATGATGATCTTCTTTAAGAATATTTAGGGCAACATATTTATGACAGCTCACCTTTAGTGTAACAGACACAATCTATGTCCTGAGGTTTGATGTTGGCCTCTTTTAAAGATCTAAATGTAAAACAAAACCTTAGCTATAGAGCAGGACCTACTGAACTCTTAACTACAAACTGCATGTTTCAGTGACCAATTCTCTGTACCTTCTTAATATATCAATGATATTTTCTCGGTGATGCTTCGCCGTGTCTCTTGGTAAGAACCCTAAATTGAGATATAGAGTAGTTGAGGTCAGATAAAGGAAGAACAAACGATAAAAGTAAAACTTTACCGCGTGCTCGGTTCATGCAGACCTACCTTGTCCAGGTGGAGTGATGTAAGTTGTTCGTACATTCGAAAGAACAACGCCATCTCTTACAATACCAATGCCTAGCTTATTTGCACTCCCTTCGAACCCAATAGCTATCGTCATGATGGTACTATCACTATCTACTATACCCTCACAGCTTCATCTGTCCCCAAATCGCCATCTTGCTTTTTAGTACCCAGTACTTTTATACCCAGATAGTTTTTACCCAGATAGTATCCAGTCTTCTTTTCTTTTTTTTTTTTAACATCAGCGGAAAGATTATCGGTGTAGTGGTGTACGTATGTGGGTGGGTGGGGTGGTCGGGGATGCTTAATTGTTCTGTGAATTATTGCCTTGTAAAATACTTCCAAACCTCTCTTGAAAACGACCCTTGCTTCACTAATAATAATGTCTAATTTCTCCGGGGGACAAGTGAGGAGTGTATAAATTTGTAAATTTTACTTGTTGTGACAAAATCAAACAAGGAAAGGAGCCCATTATTAAGCAATGGGCTCCTGACAAGGAGCAAAAAAAGTAATGTCATTTCTATCATCTACCATTCTCTAGATAAGCTATCTTTCCACATTTTTATTTGCAATAGATTTTTCCTTTCTGAACATAAAGTCAAGGTTGTTGAATTGCGTCCAATAAGTACCCGAGCTTATTACTAACCCCATAAATACCAGCTGACAGAGAGTACATTTTGAACCACCCACCCCCTTCCCCTTCAAATAAGATATCAATTGAACAAAATCCACTGCATTTTGCCAGGTTGTCCTGACAGCTCACTGGTAACAAATAATTACCTCAAGGAGGTGGAGGGAGCTCTGGCTCAAGAAATTTTCTGGTTAGCACTTCAGTAAGGAAGGAAAACTCTGTTTATTAATGTAGAAGACAAGAAAAAGAATAAGATACTGTACAGAAGGCTTTTTAAAAAATAAATATTTTTATTCTTGATACATTAAAAAATGCATTCTTGATCCTTCCTAGTCTGTAAGAGAGGTCTCACTAACACTGCGGCACATTAGTTCCAAAGCCACTAGATAAAGACCAGTGCATATGGTGGACCACGCCCCTAAGTTGGCTCATTTCTTCAAGGTATGCCTAACAAGTCAGCTCATACTTTGCAGCTTTGAAGGGTAACATTTGAAAGAACAACTATGATAATCAATTATAATAATTATATGCGTGAAGTCTCTTGAGATAGATATTCGCTGATACCCTTCCTTGATATGCAAACAGATCAGTGTTGATAAGAGTTGGTGAAGATACCATGAAAGGAAAGGATAACATTATCGGACCGTCCCTCAGGCAGTGGTTTCTTGCATTTCAGTTCTTCATCATCATCACTGGAAAGGACAGATTTCACTATCCAGCTCAAGACTGTATTCAGGATATTTTCTGACTTCTATTGTCTTGCACAACTATGTCACACACCAAAGGTGAGGTGACATCTCAATCTCCATAGGTGGGTCTCCCAGCTTAATTGAAACCAGTGCTCTCCTTGACACAATTGACTTTTAAGGTGGCCCTTCATCTATAATAGGAAACCAACCTTGTCTTTATTTTTACTTGTTTCAACTTCCTCTTTTTCAAGGACTTTCAGAAGTGCTTTGTTCAATGATTTTCCAACAGAACTTGCTGTCTAAAGAAAAAACAGTGCTATCAGATAACATAATGTGATTTTTAAAATAAAAACACTCTTTTCTTAATAGTATGTATTTATTATCTCAATCATAGGTTAAAAAGGTGTTATCAGGACAGGATTAAGAATAATCACTGAAGACAATGAACTTGAGAATGCTAATCATTCCCTTCTTGCTGGTTAGTTACTGATCAAACTCTAATTAAAATCTCTACTGGATTTCTAAGGAACATATGATACAATGGAAGAACTGAAAAAGTTAACCACAAACAACTCAGACATAATACATTGCACCTGTTGTTATACAATCACAAATGTGATAGATAGGGTGCACAAACAAAAAATGAGTGCAATGTTTCTTATTTCATAACTTAGTTGTCTTGGATAACTGCATTAATTGGCATTAATCATTAACTACTAATCATTAATGTATATGATTTAAATGTCTTTTCTGCATTATGTGGTTCAATGTCACCTAGTCAGGGGAAGAGTAAGTAGGTTAGCAGGAGTGTAGGTATAAGAATGAATAAATAGTGTAACTAATGCTGCAACAAAAGAGAAGAACCTTCATTACCTCAGTCATCTCAAAAATAGAGTCTGGATCCAGAGCACCTTGGCCAACTTTCTGCATTGCACAGATATTGTTGTCACCATTCACTGACACTAGTAACTGAGCAAGACTACAAGCTTCCTCTTGAAGACTGGCATCCACAACATGACGATGACCAATCTAAAATGTTTTAAAATCAAATTTAAATCCCAAAAAAGCCTTCCCAAAGGCATCTTATATGGATAATGAACAAGACAGGCTTAGACCTTATTCATTGATCCCAAAAATGAGCATTCTATCAAAGCAAAGATTTGTGTAAGCTGACCCAAGTACATAATTTTCTTATGCAAATGACTTGAACCTCATCCTCTTTTCTGTAAAATTTAATTGGAAATTAATAAAATGTGTGTGTGTTTCAAAAATTGTTCCAACTGTATCTTCATGCACAGTGTTTGAGATCTGACAGTTGATTACAAGGTTGACAAACACACTTGCTGGTTGGAAAATAAATTCAAATTTCTTCACACCAATGTTGCAGGTTTCTATACCTTACTCATAGTGACTGTTACTGGGATAGAATTGACATCCAGTCTTCTACAGTCATGTGGATCATCTGATATTTCAAGTTCTTCACCTCCTTCTTCCATAGATACTGAAACATTTGGAATTCTGAAAAAATTGAGTTAAATTTCAGATATTCACTATTCATTACAAAATTATCAATAATCAAACCAAAGGAAGACATATTTATCTATGATACATTGGCAAGGTAGGACTAGAGAAGCACCTTTGCAACAATACCAAGGTAACATGACAATAAAAATGATAATGATGATGATGATGATGATGAAAACAAATGATGAAGTTTGCCATTCTAACAGAATTGTACATCACATCTTACCTGGTGTTATGAAGAGCTGCCTTTACTGCCAAGGACACACAATCAAACAGATTCCCACCACATTCTAACACCTACAAGATAAACACTTTCTTATTCAACAAGTTTTAGACTTTATAGAGGGCTATCTCCCATCCTGCTGTATTACTGACAACAGAAAAAAAGTTGATCAAGTTAAAGTACACAAGTTTCTTTGGCTGAGAGGTGTTGTGAGGTTCAAGTAATGTTCTGGCCGAACTGGGCTTGATCACCAACTAAAAGAGCAGGATCTCTTCTAAAGTAATTCTGAAAATGTGATGTTTTAATTGTTAGGATTTAATCACAACAAAGTGCTCAGACAAATGGCCAATATTCATGCATTAACCTTTGAAAATAGCTTTTTCAGTAATAATAACTCTGCCTTGATCAACTTACAGTAAAAAAATCAATAATTTCAGAAAGGAACTTTTGAAGAGGAGCAAACACCAAACTGGCGTGAATGGCAGATACATGAAGCCTCGTGCAGACATTTTACAGAAAATCGACAACAAAACTTTATCGTACCAGAGCATCAATATATAACACCCAGCACTGCTTTCCAGGTAGGATGCACAATGACTCTAGATCAATGGCAGACTTGTGGTTATAAGCCTTCTCTAAACTCTTTGCCAGCATTGCTCCCAGTTCATCTCCTCCGCGACCTTCAAATTCAGGAGAAGCATTTGCAGAGCTAAAAAAATTAAAAAATAAAAAAGCAAAACAAAACAAAAAAGTGATAAAACTCTAGCACATGTAAGCAACATTTTAAAATCCAATTTCTCTTCTCCCAATATGATAAAAATACTAGCAATGTAAATTGCAAGTAGAGTAACATGTTTTGAAGATTAATACGCATCTGTACAAAAAGGTCTGTGAGTAAAATTATCTTTGAAAAAATTCAGTGGAGTTACAAAACGAAAAATACTCAAAATAGAATGCAAAACCCTAGACAATAAACAAGAATAAAATTACTTACCAGTCAACAAAGAACTCAATATATCCATAGTTTGGTTTCTCCAGATGAGGTTCTCCTATTTCTGCTTTTACTCCGACCAAGATGTCTGTTGTAGACTATGAATTGAAAAAGAAACCATGAAAACTAAAAACAAATTTCGTCAATTACTCAAATCATGCATAAGTATTTAAAATCTTAAAAATCATTTACTTTTCTGTTGTATTGATAATTATTCATAACCAGTGCAGTCGAACTTTCATTTTTATCGTTTACGCTTTCTTCCCGATAACCTCTCTCGAAACAGCTGTATACACTATGAATTGAGTTGATGTTTTGCAAATGAATTGGCTTTACCGCCTAGAAGAAGAAAGATGTGAGTTGTATGTATTTTAGGACCTGAAACATTAACGAGAACTTATCATTAAAAAAAAAAAAAAGAAAAGCTTCCCAAATTTAAAACAACTCTCAGATCCCCGCGACGCGTTTAGATTAATAAACATGCCTATCTGTTATGTTAAAAAAAGTTTGACATAGGCTACAAAAAAAAAAAACCAATGTCATCGAATCGTCTAGAACTTAGCCACGGAAAAAGTTAAGGTGGTCTTGCATTTACTCAAAGTTGATTGACACTCGATCAGAAGTTACGATTAGAACTGTATCCTATTCCTGTTTTATATCATACCAAACGAAGTCGTGCAGATCCGCTGGTGTTTGACACGATCCCAGTTTCCACCTCAAAATGTCTATAATCGTGACAAGACCTTCCATCGGATCGGAAATCTTGCTCTACTCCATTCACGATAAAAGTTCGTTCGAAGGAAGAAAGCATGGCATCCGCCATTTTGTAAACCTTGAATTACGTGACGTACCAATTGTTTTGATTGTGTCCGCTGATCTCAGCCATCGAGTCTGTTTATACTGCTCTGAAAAGCGGAAACTGTTGGTTGAGTTTGCAGCAGTAAATTACTGTAAACAACCTAATTTTCAGCCTCTGAGGAGGAAATGGCTACAGGGGGATATCATGGAAAACCACTGGATACGGAAGAGGACTTACAGTGCCCTGTCTGTTTGGAAATTTTCGAAAATCCCATCTCTATTCCTTGCGGACACACGTAAGTAAAATTTAATCAGAAACGAAGTGTACTTTTTAATGGCCTAAATTTGCTCTTAACGGAAGTATCTTTTCATTTCTCTAGTTTGCATATATTCCTCTTAAACGTCTGTGACTTAGATCTGACGATTTCGTTCGTTAAGTTTTGCGAGTGCACGAATGCAAGCAAATATACGAGACTTATTCAAACCGGAAGTGAAGTAAGCCGGAATTGTTTGTCAAATTTCCTTGTTTACAGGATGAGAGAGGATTATCCTTTTCCAGACTTCCCATTTTAAAAATGTTTCATCACTATCACAGAGCAACTGTCGCTAGAATGGTGCAGGAGAAAGGTTGTCAGAGGCCACTATTTTCAAAACACTGGAAAGTGAAATTCTAAGAAAGAAGTAATTTTCTATAAATCTTTTTTCCCACAATATATCCAATCCTGGGCAAGGACTCCAAAACGTCAGATTTTTACATCATATTTCAGACCAAAAGTGTTGAAATCCCTCTTATCATAGCTGCTTATACCTCTGAAGGTTATGGGCCTGGGGTAAACTTAGTTTGGTGCCCTTGTGATATTGCAGCTAGGAAAGCCCTTTGGAGGGAATTGTCTTGTCCAAGGATACTGCAGAGCTTGCTAAACAAACTTTAGACCTAAAGCCCAGTGTGCTAACAGAGGCTTAATGTCTCTCACATGAATATAAAGGATAACAACATATCTTGTGATTTGATTACTTACAGTTATGGTAATTTTGACATGGGCTGTAAAGTGATCCTTTATGAGGACTTTACCTTTCCTGTGATTTCAGTTTTTGCAGTGATTGCTTGAGTTCAGTTGAAAATCTTTCTGGATCATCCACATGTCCTGTTTGTCGGGATAATTTCAACTTTAATGAGAAAAGAAGAGCAAGAGACATTGACCGGCAGATTCGTCACAGTACAGGAACCTGTTCTAGTTGTAACAGACAGGTACTTACTTCTGCTTTTTTTCAGTGAGATCTAAGGGCCAAGGGATGAGGACATAGCATTTTTAGTAGGAGGAAAGGGGGTGGGGTGTATCCACAGCAGACTGATGATTAATTAAAGAATGTTGAATGTTACATTTCTCTCCTGCTTCTTACTCTCATTAAAGTTGACTTGTTAACTTCTCTGCCCTTTCTTCTCCTGTCTACCTCCTTTGCTCCTTCACTGGAAACAGGGAGTTTTACCGAATTAAAGTTATGAATAAAGGTGCTTCAAATGATTATTGTTAATGAAGACCTCACTGGAAGAAAATTTTGTAAAATCAGCATCAGCAAACATTCATTTGTCTACATCAATGTGATCAACCTTCACTTTTTGAATTAATATGAATTTAAATTTCATTCATGCACACCATGAAAGTAAAGCCACTGATTTATTAAGGTAAAATTGGAACCAAAATTAACCATTCCCCACTAGTATTTCAATAGATAACATGCAGTACCTGGGGATTTGAGGTCATCAGTCCATTAACTGTCACACCTTTGATGTTGTAGGTTTTTTTGTGCTAGTGATTGACAATTCCATGGAATTTGAATGAATTTCAAACCTGATATCAACAAACAATCATGGAGTGTGATCTGCATAATCTGGAATTAAAAATGAGCATTGTTTTGGGTGGTGGCAACATTCTGCTGGCCCTCTGCTGGACAATCACACAACACAACTGATTAAAATTAATTTTCATAGTGAAAATTATGAATAGAAATTAGGTAATAGCTCACTTCTTTTGTTACTCTTTATCACAGTTTCCTATGTCAAGATTAAGAGAGCACAGATCATCCTGTGAGACAGTTTCTCCACTACCTTTTGTCCCTGTTGCTCGTACCTCACAACCTAGGCCAGAGTAAGTTTTATTTTACTGGAACATTATTGTTGCCTTAATTATGTGAACAGACATTTGGGGTAGCAAGGTTACCATGTTGCTAGAATAAGTGATTACTTTTACTGTCACCAACAACACTGTTCATTTGATTTGCTTTCTAGGCTTAAAAATCGATCAACATTCAGTTGTCCCTTTTGCTCCCAAAGTAACTTGGACAGTAAAGGAATGTTAAAGCATGTGAACAATTATCACAAAAATGAGAGGCAATCTGTGGTAAGTTGAAGAATAATTTGAATAGTTCATGTAAATGAAAAAGGGAAACAAGGCTCCACTTTCCTAACCAATTAGATTAACCCTTTAACTCCTATGAGTGACTAAGACAGAATTTCTCCTTACAATATCAATACAATATCAACCAGATAAGTGATGAGTATAAAGAAAAATATCAATTTGAGGATAACTAGTTGATCCAATACTAAATTCTCTGAACTAACATTATAAGAATTGTATGGTTGACAGTAAGGAGAATGACAAATTTGATCTGGGAGTTAAAGGTTAAAACTAAAACCAACTACGACTTGGTCACTGTGTTTTGCTGCACCTCAGGTGGTTTGCTTGTTTTACTATGAGTTCTCTTTGGCTCATTGTGATATCTTCCTTTGTTCTGATTAGCTGTTGCGACTTTGGTTTTGGTTTTAAAAAACTCAGACTAAAAGTGCTCTAAAATAATTGATGTTGTGATTAGTTGCAAAATAGTCTTAACAGGGATGAGCTCATGTGGCTGGTTTGTATAGGGGGAAGAGGGAAGGGGGAGGTAGGAGTTAATTGTTAATCATTGAGCATGAAGCATGGCAGGGTTGGGCTGTGTAACATACTGAAAAATAGATTGAATCATTTTGTTTTATTTAGGTTTGTCCAATCTGTGCCAGCATGCCGTGGGGAAATCCCAATCAGAAGAGTGGTGATTTTGTTCAACATCTTAATTTGCGGCATAAATTTGAATATGATACATATGTGGTGAGTCAGTTTTGTGGGTTTAAAAAATTATGATCATTAAAGACTAAGAAGTTAATTTTTCTTTGAATTCCTGTGCCTATCTTTGCCAATTTTCAATGTGTTGAGTGGATCTTTAAGTTTTTTTCCACTGTGACAATTACTGAACATATATCTAATGGATATTCTGGTTGCCTGTTGAAGAAAACACTTGCTTAGTAAGTGCAAAGGCAATATATTTGTCACTATGGCCCTAAAGTTATGACGTTTGACCTTGCCCTGGCAATACAGCCACCTCGTTAATACACTCAGTTTTGTCCATTTGATTGTTTCATGTAAATCAAACCTACAACTCGCTTGTAAGTCATGTCATATAACAGGGTTCCACTGTAGGCCTTAATAATTCAGTTTTGTCCTTGAACCTCTGACTGACATTCTTTACTGGGAATAAAAATATTGAACCCCACAACAATTTATTGAGGTCTGCAGTTCAAGCTTGTAGGTGAACAGTAAAAAATTTAAATCATTCTCATCTCACAGGACTTTAACAATGACGAAGATGCAATTCTACAGCAAGTTTTGGCTCAGTCAGTTCGAGACAGATGATAACTTTTAATTAATGATTTTCTTCCTTAAGTTCTTACTTTCAATGGTGCCCTTATCCTTCAATTGTTTTTTAATTAATAAGGTATTAAGATGGAGTTGAGGAGAACCACCTAAAAAACATTTCACTGTGTACTGTGATCATCCAGGTGTGAGTGGTTAGTAGTTCTGAGAAAGACAAGAAGAAACAGTCAACTCTGTTTGACAACTTCTGCAAAGTTGACAAAATATCAGTAACTATGATCAACACAATCTGTCTCAGAGCTATTCTCACCAAGATGATCAGACTACATGATCAACTTTCTTGTTACTATAATTGCAACCTAGGACTATTACAGATTCCATGTTGTCGTGCATCTGTTCAGTGATAGACCACATATGATGTCAAATGTGGTAACAAGAAAAAACTGGCACACAAGGCACAGCCAAGTGTCACTGAATGATGTTCCTACCATATTTTGATGTCATGTGTGATCTTTTACTGAACAAATCCACAGCAACATGGAATACATTTGTTTTGTATGATAAATAGTCAAAATTAAATGTTGTCAGTAGTGAATCATCTAATTATGTGTCTGTCCTCTGGTGGATCAAATGTAGGAACCAATCAAAATACATGTATGATTTAACCTATCATATATATCACTGTGTTCAATGTTGAAGAAATCTTTAAAACACAGTCAACTTTCTGTTAACAGATACTCATGTAAGCAGACAGTTCTACTTATGGACACTTTTTAAACTTTCCTTTTTGCCTCCCAGTCAAACTCTGTATTTATACATTCCCATAAGCGGACACTCCCTCATAGGTGGACATACACACTTAAAGAATTGAAAATTGGATTTTCTTTTGTTTACACTCTCTTGTAAGGGGATTCTCCATGGATAATAATTGACTCTTAGCAATATGATTTGTCTTGACATTGCAAATCAACAAAAATATGAACTTTGACTCAGCAATATAGCATCAGGGTCAGTTTTATAAAATCTTCATTTGTGCACAGGAAAGCAAGCAAGCTCTCCTGTTAACCAACATCCACCCTCTTTTCTTTGGAGTTCGCTTATGGGAATAATTCTTGTAGGCAGACAGTTCTATCAATGAATACTTTTCCTAATTCCCTGAGGGTGTCTGCCTTGAGAGTTGAATTTCTTTTGACATTCAACTATGCCATCAGCATACATGTGCTGGTTTCACACTTGGTGTATTGAAAAGGAATATTTGAGAATGACAGGAAACAGGATTAAACACAATGGTTGGTCTGTGATAGTAACATGTTAAAAAATTAAAACAAAAAAAAAACAAAGAAACCACAAAACTCCGTAAGTCTCTCAATAGGTTGTTTTAGTAGAGATTACTGGTAGTATCCTTTAGATCTGCTCATAAATTGCACCTATTGCACCCGCAAGTCTCTCAATAGGTTGTTTTAGTAGAGATTACTGGTAGTATCCTTTAGATCTGCTCATAAATTGCACCTATTGCACCCGTAAGTCTCTCAATAGGTTGTTTTAGTAGAGATTACTGGTAGTATCCTTTAGATCTGCTCATAAATTGCACCTATCAAAAGATAATAAGTATCTATTAAAAAAAAAAAGTTGACATCTACTTAAGTGGATTCTCTATTTAACCACAAATGATACATGTAAATATTTTGGTGGTTGTTAGCTGATACTGAATGGGCTATTAATAATTTAAGGCTGGAAAGTTTATAGAAATACTGGAACTGTTAATTACAAACTAACATCATCCGACTTGATTTAATTTCCAGCTATTTAGCTAACCAATGAGCAGCATGAAATATTTTTTTCCTCCTGGATGCTATTAATTCTTTTAACCTTATTTATAATTCATCATCAGGAGTAATTATATAACAATTCTGCTCTTTAACCCTATAACTCCAGAGGTGATTAACATGTTACTTCTTCCTCTAATATCCATACATTATCCAGCAAACAGGTAATGAGAATACTCCAACTTATGAGGTAGAGGTTGTTATCTTGATCTAACACCAACTTCTTGTAACTAATTTACAAGGAAATGTGTAGAAGCTAGAGAGGAAAATTAACAACCAGATTTTGAGAGTTTAAGGGTTAAGAGCAGAGATTGAATTATTTGTTACAATACTATTGACTTGTAAATTCTCTTGCTTGTGACCTTGAGCGTTTCCTATGGCGTTTTGTTGGTGCTGTAGTTGTTATTTTAGGGAAGGAAAGACCATACTGGGAACACAGTTGTTTGAGAGCTTTCTCATAGGCACTATTCAGTCTTGCAGCTTGTTGAAGGGCATATTTTAAGTCTTCTACTTCTTCAAAGAATCCCTGAAGAAAATCACAGAGAATACGCAAAATTAATTTTTTTACTCAGACAGTGAAAAAAAGATGCTTGGGAAAAGGATACCTCCAAACAGGAGGTAGACCTAGGAATTACAAATTCATTCTTCCAAAGATCTTTTATTGACATACAAGGAGAGGTGCCAGAGAAATTTAGAATGTAGGGGGGACTGATTGTTTAGTAGCTTGTTGGCACAAGCAAACTCTTTTAGAATTGTGTCCCATGTAATATTGCATTAATAGGAGTTATTGAAAAAGAATCATGTAACATAGTATTTCACCAAACACAATCCTGATGATTCAAGATATGAAAAGACTCGAAGAAGGAATTCAACGCAATGAAAGCATTGTGCAAAGTTTTGACACACAAGAGTGGAAAGCTGTGCCCTCCCCTCCTCTCTATGTTTTTTTAAGGGGGGGGGGGGGTTTGTGCTCCCCTTCTACGACAAGAAAAAATTGCTTTGACTTGCTATTAAAATTCCAGTATTTCACTAACCCGGTCCAACATCTTGAGTTCATCTGAAAAGACCAATGTGGAGTGTTTGACCCCATGGTTAAAATACAAACAGGAAAAATGTGTATTAAATTATATCACCTGATACAAATATGGTTTACGACTAACATACACATTCCATTACATGTAAGTATGCTGAAATTAGAGGATAGAGACACAACCAAGTGGATTGTAACACCTGACAAGTGAAGTCTTGAACTAGGTCATCATGTAAGTATGGGCTTTTACATCAAAGGAATATAGACACAGATTGATTTGAAGTTTTACAAATCTTTGCTGTTCGTTTTTCTCACATTTAATATTTTGTTCTAACAAGTTAACCATAATTTCAGGGTTTTAAACCTAGTGAAAAGTTCTCTAGATTTACTCACTTGTAAATTCAAACAAACATAGGTGTTCCCAAGCAGACCAATTTGCTTTCCCTGTGAGCACATCTTGTCACTAAAGGTTAATATTTACTTAAGACTGCTTGGCACCATTGACAATTGCTTCACCCCAAAAGTCCCAAGATCCTAGTGTGAATTCTCCCCATGAGCTGCTACTCAATTCCTTGTAGATTAGTTACAAGAATTTGGTGTTGGATCAAGAAAACGACCTCTACCTTATAAGTTTGAGCATTCTCAATGCCCTTTTGTTTGATAATGTATGGACATTATATGGGAGAAGCTACATCACTTCAGGGATTTAAAGGATTAATTCAAAGAGATGGAAAAAAAGTTAGTTATTAATATAGTACTGAAATGAATCCCAAACCTTTACACTTTTTTCTTTCCTTAGCAATCCTATCTCTCTCTTGTGAAACTTTGCGGAGATCAGCCATTAAATCTGATTGAAACATTGATGAAATAAAAAATGATTGAGATCACTTTCCTTCTAAAGGGAGAGAAAATGGTCATAGTTTGTACCTCTCTTAGAAGGTGTTAGTCGTTCCTTAATGCCCACAGCATTAATTCTGGCCTGCAGAGCTTCATTCTCTTTGTGTAATTCATCTATTTTTCTTTTGGCATCTTGGAGTTTCTTTTCCAAATCTCTGTTTTCCAACTGTGATTAATATGTACAGTCAATTTTAGATTTTTCATCTCTGACAATGAGAAATTTATACTCACACTCAAAGTAGCAATTTGTTCCACATGGGCTGTGTTAGTCTTTAGTTCCTTCTGGTATCTCTTCATAAGATTGTTATGCATTGACAACATCCTAAAGCAAAAGACTATATTTAAGACGCAACTTTTCTTCATATGAAAGTTATAGATGATACAGAGCAGGACAATAAAGCAAAGAATTGAGCTATGTACCAACAGGTCTCTAATTTGACGGTTAAGAACATATGAAAGTCATATATATATATATCTCTAATTTTTTAAAACAGGAGACATTTTGGACAGTAAAGCAGAGAATTGAGTTATGTACCAACAGGTCTCTAATTTTTTAAAACAGGAGACATTTTGGACAATAAAGCAGAGAATTGAGTTATGTACCAACAGGTCCCTCATTTTTTAAAACAGGAAAAATTTTGGCTTACTCTAAGCTTACTAGCACATTTCATTCACAGATCAGATTGAATCAAATTCGCTCAGCAAAGTGTATCTACTTAACAGCCCTTGCCACTTGGCAACCTAAAGTAAAAAAAATATTGCTATAAAAAAATGTTTTTTGAGGCTAATGGATATTCCAAGACTCCCTACTCCAACAACCAGAGGCCATTCTTCTCCATGAGAACAGCAGGACATTATAGAGGTGTTGAAAGCAGATGCTAATTTCAGTAAACTTACTACCAAAAACAAAAAGTAATGTAAGAAGTGGCTGCAGCTTGCTACATGATTGCGAAGCACAAGTAGCCACACTTGCATGAAATTAAGTCACCACAATTTTTTCTACTTCCTGTGACAAACAGAACAGTCACAGCATGAAATGCTGCATTAACATTCAGTCAGTTTCAAAATAAAACAAATATTAATTAATAAACTGAGACTTGTCAAAACTGAAAGATGAAGTTACAACTAACTTGGTTGTACTTTCAAATTGTTCATCTTGAGCTGGTTTCTTTTGTCTGTCGTATTGGTTTGATTTTATTGCTGATCCCCCAACACTTCTTTGTCTTTTTTCTTCAGTCTGAACTTGGACACTGTATATGGAAGGAGAAGAGGGCGAATGAACAATCTCTTCAAAAAGGTTTTAATTAAGCAGTTTGATGCAGGAGAATAATGTAAACTTACGGTAACAAGAGAACGTTCTTGACATTGAAACGAGTAAAAGAAAAAAAAAGCCAGGCCATCAGAATTTAGCTGGAGAACTCTAAAGAGTATGGAGAGAATTCTCAAATCTATAGTGCTTCATAAAAATCCAGCTTTGAGAACGTTTGCGCAACTAAATTTGGTTTGCCACATTTAAGAAATTTAATTATTATATGAAATTATATTAAGCCTGCTCGCTGTTGCCAAAAACACTTCGATCTTTGCTTAAAAGCAAGGTTTCTTGTAAGCCCACGAAGGATACCGTCAGTGATAAACAGGTATTGCTCAAGACAGTTTGTGCGCGGATTAAGGTTCATTCCGGTGCGATAGGACCGATAAATATCTTGGCGCAAAACGTCATATTACATCTTATTATATACTTAACATACTCGATGAAAAGAATTCGAAGTCAAGAGTGAAAATATACAACTGGACCTACAATTTACCTTCTTGAATTAGTTTGCATAAATCTTTGGGTAGTAAACTGCTCCTTTAGATCGTTCAGCTCTCTTTCTAGCACTCCATTTCTTCTTGAGAGTTTCTTGTATTTCTTTCTAATCCGCTCATTTTCAGAAGACAGCTGAGGAAATGACCATAAGTCTAAGGTGTTTGAACAACGAAAATGAATGAATTCGATAATTTAAACTCAGCCGAAATGGCTTACATATAGGCAGTTGTGTACATCAGGCATTGACATTTTAGAACACTACTTCACAAATTTGTGACAAGGGTAATTTTCAAACTCTGCCGCTATTGACCGTCATTATGGGAAACCGCTGACAAGGTAAGAGGAAAGCAGTGTATCCCGCGGTGTAAGAGATATCATGACTAGCGGTTTCCCCTCTGAGACTACGTTTTATCATCCAACTGGCCAATGTAGATTGAAGTTACATTTTTTTTCTAGTTGTTTTTAGTGAGAGCCAGGGATATTATGATCACTTTTCGAAAGACTGACAGTAAAACTAAGTCAAAGAGACTTGAAAAAGTCCATCATTTAGAAGACGGTGTTACTTATATGAACCTGTTACTGTAAATACTATCACGCGACAGACAAATTATCTTAGAATTATACAGTTTACAAAAATAATGCGTCGAAAAATGGTTCCTTCCTTATTTTTGCTCTTCTTTTTGATGATTTGGGGAGAATGTATGACAAAGGAGGAGATAGAAAATTATAGGTGAGTACAGAAATCAAATCTGGCTAAATACTATATGATGTATGTTTCCAGCTGTTTTTAGTGCATCACGTCTTTACACGTTCGAAGATAATTCATCACGCTGAAATCACGAAAGGAGCACGAAAACTGCGATATTCCGTGAATTATTACGGGGGCTATTATATTTTATCATATATTTAAATTGTTGATAAGTTCGATTCTCTTAAATCGCCAGAGAAAAGCCCGCAATATTTTGCAGGAAGTGATGCAGAGTATTAGCATATCTCCTGTACGTGCGACAATCATGGGAAGTTGTTTGAACCGCGTGTGCAGATAGTGGGTCATACAGGCACGATTTGCCCTTTGTTCCAAACATCATTACAACCCAAAATCGAGAAGAGCACATTTAGTTATCTCTAAGATACGCGTGTTTTATTTGAGTTGTGTTCCAATAATAATTCATTGCATTTGGAAAAGCGAGTCAGAAACTATTTTTAGTGTCAGAATGAAGTAAATGTAAAAGAAGTAAAGTAAAAGTATATCAACTTCTGACTTTAAATTGTAGGGTATGCAACACCCCATGAGTTATTTACATATTTTTTCACTGACCATGTACAAAAAATGTACCAAACATAACTACTGTGCTTGGAGCATTGCAGTTATGTTGATCATGGTAATTTTGAAAATAATTGTGAAGGTGAACTCTTCCTTATTTCAGGTTAAAGACAAAATCTATGTTTTATCATGGATATGACAGTTATCTCAGACACGCTTATCCTTATGATGAATTAAAGCCTTTGTCCTGTAGTGGCCAGGACACATGGGGAAGGTAAGATTGCTTTAACTGTTCAGCTACAATCAAATTTTAGCAAAAGCCCAAGTTTGATATTTTGAAATTCTCTTAACCTTCTTACTCCCAGATGTGATGAACATATGAGTTCTCCCTGTGATTCCACTAAGTTATCTTGCAAGGAGGTTATTAGAACAGACAGGCAAGCTTATCAGCCAGAGATGTCCGATTGGTGTATCACCAAACTCACCCCTCTGATCTACAAGGAAATGTAACATGGCCAGAGAGGAGAATTGCCAATTGGATCTTGGGAGTCAGAGGGTTAAAACAATAAGTACGAGTATGGGACTCTGAGTTCTAAACTGCCAAAGTCAGCAGTTTAGTCTTAAATCCTGTTGAGCTCTATTGTCTAAAAAATTAAAGAATTAAAAATGGGGGTGTTGCATGGCTCAGAGTTCTAGGAACATAATTATATTTAAGGGTGTACTGTAAGGTTGAAAGAGGAGATAATGTAGGCTGTTTTTCTCATACATAGCCCTCATTAGAGTTTTCCATTTGCAAAAGTTGTCATATACTCTTTTCAGGAGCTACTCTTACCTGGACAATCAGAGCACACAATGAGCCATTTCAGCAGGGTTTAGAACATTTACCCAAAGATTAGACATGTTGGTTAGCAAAAAGATCACATTAATTACTGACAGCAAAGGTTGCATATTCTAAACATGAAGTATAATTTTTTATATCATCAGCTACTCTTTAACCTTGATAGATGCCCTGGACACACTGCTAGTGAGTTGTATAAAGTTGTCAGAACCATAGAAATAAAGGAATGATTGAGATAATGTCTGATACATTTACCCATTCATTCATTTTTTATCTCTACACCTATACCTTTGCTTATTCACTTCAAAGTTGTTACATAATGTAGTTTCTTTGTTCCTTCCTTAATTTGTTCATTTATTCCTTCCTTCCCTAATTAAGCCATTAAATGAGTACCTTATCATTCATTCTTTCATCTCTTCCCATAATTTCAAAAGTCCTTTTGGTTAATACTAACTGAAAAATGGTGACATTTTAAAAATTCTTCACAATAAATACCAACAGAGTTCCTATGTACTTGTGTCATCTTGAGTTCTTCAATGTGTTTTCAGGTTCTTGGAAACACATCAGAGTTCCAGAGGATCACAAATCTGCTGGAACAAACTTTAGATTTTGATATGGATATTAATGTTTCTGTGTTTGAAACAAACATAAGAGGTGAGAACTAATAGTTGATAAATTCAAATTATTACTGTTCTCAAGCACAATACATGTAGTCTGAACCCTTTTACAAAAATTTTCTTTTTTGCTAAAGGTGAAAATGTTTCATTATTACTTTTTAACAATAATGCTCCTTCTGAAAATAAATTTTATTTTTAATTGATTAATGTTCATATTGCAATGTGAAGTATACAGTCAGCTAAATTTATCATTTTATTATAATTATTTTATTATTAACAATAGGTAATATTTACATTTTATTAGTTGTTGGAGGTCTTCTGTCCGCTCACTTACTTGCACCAAGGGCTGGAGTAACTGTAGAGGAAGGGTGGCCATGCCAAGGCCCTCTGTTGAGACTTGCAGTAGATGCAGCTGAGAGGCTGCTGCCGGGTTAGTATTTTATATTTTTGCTTTGTAGGGGCAGGCAAGGAAAAAAGGTCATGCAGAGTACTTGAATAACTTTTTTTCTATATGAAAGCACAATTTTAAAGTATGTCATTAATTCTCAGCTTTTAACACTCCAACTGGAATGCCATATGGTACTGTGAATCTTCGTTATGGAGTCCCTCCATCTGAGACACCAATCACCTGTACTGCAGGGTGTGGCACTTTCATTGTAGAGTTTGGAACAATCAGCGCCTTGACAGGTAACAATAATCTTTATTATATGACTTGTTCGGTAAGTAGGATCAGTAAAATGAGTGCTATGTTTTGATTGACTTTCTGAGCAGGCAATATGAGGCCTCCCTAGAATCACCCAGTTCTAGTCAAGTTGACATTATAACCAAAAAACAACTGTCACTATCTTCCCCTGAAAACAGAGAAACAAACATAACATGATAAGTTTTGTAGTGTAATCTTTTTTGCTGTGTGATAAATGCCTCACTATTCAAGCTTGCTTAGTTAATATGGGTGTAAAGAAATGTGTTACATATAGCTTGAGAGTAGTGTAAAGTTAAACTGGTGAATATTCCTCATGTCCAATTAAAAGGTAATAGCTCAGGCCATTAAAACATTGCCAGAGAATTGTGTGTGAAGTAGGCAAAGAATTCTTTTATCTCTGATGCTTGTTGAACCCCCTGAATGTATGAAGTATCCAGTATTTAACAAAAATAACAGGGTAACAAGAAGTTCCTTGTTAAGTATTGCTTTGTTATTAAATTCAATGTTTCAATTAGGTGATCAAAGATTCAGGGATGCTGCTATGAAAGCTTTAGAAGGTCTTTGGAAAAGCAGATCAAAGCTTGGACTGGTAAAGAAACTCTTCCATGATATTCATGCTAAATACAGACCCTCAGTGTGATGGATATGCATCATAATGTGTGCCAGTTTTTTTTGTGAATATAATTACATGACTTAATGCACATAGCATCCAGTGCTCTTCTTCTTGTTATTACCTAATATTGCATCCTTAGATCATTCCCTACTCCCTTTGGTGGGTCTTAATTTTCAGCATCCTTTTGACAGCCTAACATCAGTACAGGCTGCAGTACAAATGAAGGGGGAATAGCCCTCCTCTTCCTCGGGTAAGAATGTCCACATAAAAATACTTGCGTAAAATGCTTTAAGTTAAGCCCCTAACACCCCTTCCTACTGGAATTTTTGCTCCTCTCTCTCCTCCTAACACCTCAATAAACTGATGTACAATCAACTGTAGAGCTTTCTTGGTTTTTAGTGCTGTGCTGTTTATTGTCATGGAATAATCATGATAGCATAATATTTTCCTTTCTTTTTTTCACTCTATTTTAGGTGGGTAACCATATTGATGTATTGAGTGGAAAATGGACAGCACAGGATGCAGGCATTGGAGCTGGTGTTGACTCTTACTTTGAGTATCTCCTTAAAGGGGGTATTTTGTTTAGTTTGCCGATATTGGTAGACATGTTTAAAGGTAAGCCAGGATAATTTACTAGTCTGAGTGCTGGTATTTTCACAATCATGCAATTTATTCCTTTACAAGCCTTCCCAACTTGGATATTATCATGATATTACACAGGATAAGGAAAAGATAAACTGAAATAAGAGCCATAAAAAATAACATTCAGTTCTAGTGGAATGAGCAGAGATTGAGCAGTGGTGAGAGTGTTTGCCTCCCATTCCTGTGGCCCAAGTTTAATTCCTAGACCTGGTATCACATGTAGGTTGAGTTTTTTGTTGGTTCTCATTCTTTGTCAGTGGGTTATTCTCCAGGTTTTTGGGTCTCCTCCCTCCACAAAATCTAACATTCCAAATTCCAATTTGACCTGGAAACTGTGTACACTTTTGAAGAGCCACCTTGTGGAATGTTCATGGCCAACTTCCCATTTTTGTTATCATCGTTGTCATTACTTTAACTTATTATAATTATAAAATTATGGATGCTTACTTTAGGCACACATTTTACTTGGTGCCTAACTTTTTAGTTTATCATTATTTATTCTTATTTTCTATCAAAGAATTGTATGGCAAAGTTCAGCAGCACTTGAAGATTAGTGATTGGTATGTGTGGGTCCATATGGATAAGGGTCAGATTACAATGCCAATCTTTCAGTCTCTTGATGCCTATTGGCCAGGACTCCAGGTAGGTGACAGCTGTCATTGATTAGCAGACACATTGCAAAACACTTAACTGATGATTGCGATTGCAGGCATCTCCTTTGAAATCTGGCACTACATGATGTTAGTCAATAGTTTGTAGTCTTAACTCTCAAACACTCAGGAGTGACCAAGACAGAATTTCTCCTTACAATAACAATACAATATCAAGCAGACAAGTGATGAGAATAAAGAAAAATGTGAATGAGGAGATTTCTAGTGATTTCAATACCAAATTCTCAAACAAGCATTACAAGAATTGTTTAGTGGTCAGTAAGGAGATCCCAATTATTAATGAGATCTTGGGAGTGAAATGGTTAACATTTAAAATTGATATTTTCGAATAGACATTATGGGGTGATATTGGACCAGCATCAAGAACTCTTCAAAAGTACCACAGTGTCTGGCGGCATTTTGGATTCATCCCTGAGTTTTATCAGATAGCATCTGGAGAGCCTTACTCTGGAAGAGCTGGATATCCCTTGAGACCAGGTAGAAAAATAATAATCATATTTTGATGGCCAAAGCTGTTTTTTTTTTAATACAATATATTTTCCTGTTATGTTACACCATTCTCCTTCTCCTACTTTCTTTATGAAAATGTGGCAAAACAAAGAAAACAGTTCTACTGTACCATTGAACAAAGTGTGCTAGTTAAGCATTTTTGTATGAGAATTGAAAAGCAGCTGTTGTGCATTATACCATTTCCTCTTATTCACTCTATATTAAGGAACAGACCATTAGTTTTCTTTTGTACTGCCTCATGCAGTTCAAGCCACAATTTTCCACATGTATTGTGGAGAAATAAGGAAAACAAACCACTCAAAGAGAAATACATATTAAAATAATCCAATGTGTATTAAGGGGTCACTCACAGGGAATGACAGGATGATAGCTTAAAGCAGGTTGACTGCTTAATGTACAGGTTCCATTGAATACTAGTATAAAAAAATGCCATAATTTACCACTTAATTTACAAAAACTTGGTCAAAAATATTATAAAGGTTAATTTGGGAGATAAAGATATGGCTGAAATTTTACTGAAAGATTATTCTTAGTTTTATTTGTTGAGTGGTTGTGCTTCAAGTGACCTTTCATTAGTCAGATGGAGGACAATACAGTTATTAACCCTTGAACTCCCAAACCACATTTGTAATTCTCCTTACTGTTTACCATACAATTCTTATAATATTAGTTCAGAGAATTTAGTATTGCATCAACTAATTATACCCCAAATTGATAGTTTTCTTTACTCTTTAATTTAATCACTTTTCTGGTTAATATTGTATCGATATTAGAAGGAGAAATTGGGAGTTAAAGGGTTGAGGGGGAAAAAATTTCAGGATGCTGATAACCAACCACTTAATACAGGGTGACCTCTTATACAGTGCCACATAATACAGGCTTGACTGTACATCTTTGTAGGGCATTACTACTGCTCAGCTTTTTGATAAGGGGATCTTGCAAACCTAGCAGTTCAGTTTGTTTTTAACAGCAATTGTTGGATTTGTTTTAGAGCTGATTGAGAGTGCCATGTACTTATATCGTGCAACAGAGGATCCATATTTTCTTGAAGTAGGGAGGGATATGCTGGAATCAATAGAGAGTAGTGCTAGGACACCATGTGGATATGCTACAGTGAGTTAAACATCACCGTAAAACATTAAAACATTTAATTTGAGTGCACAACTATCAGCATTTTAGGAGTTGTTGTGTACTGACCCAATGAGTACTGTGGCTAGTGCTACAAAATGTAGGTAAGGGATACATTTCAAAGATATTTTAGGTTTTACTTATTAGCATATACTAGGTATAATATTTTTGAGGATTTTAGTTTACTTTCAGAAAAAATTGAAGGAATCTTAGAATATGGCTACAGTGATGTTTATGTGTAAAGTATTAAAGGGGATACTTTTTCAGAAGATGTCTCCTTGCTAATTGGGTTTCATACTGATTTTTTTTAGATAAAAGATGTTAAAACGCATGAGCAAGAGGATAGAATGGAGTCTTTTTTCTTAGCAGAAACAACCAAGTATTTGTATCTTTTATTTGATGAGCACAATTTCATTCACCAGAGCAATGGCTCTGTGGATCAACAAATCAAAGCAACGCAATCACCTTCATGCAATCCTGGCTCTGCAGGTTACATATTCAACACAGAAGCTCATCCAATTGATATTGGAGCAATTCATTGTTGCTCACCTTCAAGAATGACATATATACCTGAAGAGTTATTTAGAACTAGAGATATGTTACTAGAAAACTCCCAAGAATTGAATTATGAAAGTAATGAGGATTTGAATGATGAAGAAGATGTGGAGAAGACTTTCACCGGTGCTTACACTTGCAAGGAAAGGCCTTTCCACAAGAGATTCTCAGTGTTAGGTGCATTCTTTGAAGGAAGTGAAGAGGCACCTTAGTACACACTTGGGTTAGTCTCCTTCGCAGATTTTTTTGGAATGTCATGTAACACTCTGGGAGCCATGCTTGACTTCTTAAAGAATGGCTGGGAAGAAGAATTTACGTAGATTGGCAACACAGCATAAAGAAAATAATATAAATATTTATTCAGTTGAAAATTAAAGTTCTAAAATATCTATTTTTCTAACATGGTGTAGCATTAAAATTTTGCAGCTTTAGTATTTACAGATTTGAGGGTTTTTCTGGACCCAGCTGGAAAAAAGGTCCCTTATCAGTCTTTTCTTTAACAGCCAATTAAAAAAGCTAAGGAAATCAGAATGGGCATGGGGTAAGTGCAAGGCTCCTGCTCCATTCTCTTTATGTGACAGTCGGGTTGGGTACTAAGGTATTGCCCTTTTATGTTATAAAAATCAGTAAAATGACATGATATAGAGAGTATCCAGCAGGAATTGAAAGTTGAAAATTTCTGTTTCCTCAGTCTGTTGTTAAAATACTGTTGCTCAATGAGAAAATCATAAACATCAGTTTAACAAAACAAAAAAAAAATTGGCTGACCTCTGAAATAAAAATCTTGCAAAATTTTTACGCTTCAATGTTGATAACAAAATATTATTGTTTATCTCAGGATGTTGTCACTTCTGATGCGAATCACAATTTTTTGACCACATACTGCTAGTTTTATTCAATTGATGAAGCCCAGACAATAAACTGGTTTCCTTATGAAACACAATACTGCAATACTCTTCATTAGGTGTTCTGTTACAAATTCCTCACCTAAACAAGAATTGCTACATGCAGCTGCTATGTCATGGTTCACATCGGAAGTGACATCATTTTATGACAGATTATCAAAATATTTTCTTATTATTATACTTTATTAGAAAATGTTGAAAAAAATTAGCGAGAAAACGGTTTGCTAAAAAGAATGGATAATTTAGATAGGAAATTTTCAGCTATTAACAGTTATGTGAAGTACACAACTGAATGATTTGAAAAAAAGTCGTGACAATTTTTTATTTCATTATTATTATTTAGAATGTGTTACCAATATATGATTATGAAATCATGAAAAACTACAGCTATTAATAATATAGAGTTACCAGTAACTCGTTACACCTACCGAGTTTCTCTGACCAGTGTTTTACTTACTGATAACAGAAATAAAGGTTTATCAGTAGCACTTTACACAAAAAGTCTTTCTTTAGTATGCAATAAAAGAAAAAAAAAAATGTAGAGTTCAGAAAGGCCGAAAAAAACCTCTGCAAACAAGGTGCAATCTAGTGCTAGGTGTGTCATTTGCTTGGGGTTTCACCTCCCCTCTGAACGAAATATACAACAACAAGGAAATGATAAAGACCTGCATATTACTTAATATACCAACCAGAGGACTTAAGTGATCAACATGTAACCTCTCCCTACAATATCCATTTACTATCCAGCAAACAGGTAGTGAGAATATTCAATTGTATCAGGTAGAAGTTTTTATCTTGATCAAACACCAAATTCTTGCTACTAATTCACATGGAACTGTTAGGCAGCTAGACCAGACCAATGGCGCTGATTGCAGAAATGATCAAGAACAATTTTGTATAGAATTCTGTCAATTAAGCCACACAATATTTCACATTTTGTCACATCCTTCCGCTCAGAGTTGTCACAAACGTATTTTTTCTAGTTTGAAGTTCTCAGTTGCCATCCGAAAGTCATAGAATGCTTGCGATCAGTCTAACTAAGATAAAATCGGGTGATGTTTAATGCTAACTACCCTGCTCTCGTCCAAGGAAATATATAGAGCTACTTGCAAGATTACTTTCCAAGAATCTAAAAAAACCTTTCATAGATATTTTCATTTTTGCACTGTAGTCAACCACACCGTTGATCCACAATTTGGCAGAGGATTAGAATTAGAATTTCAAATTACTATGTCCGTCTTTGTATAAAGGAGCGTAGCAGGATGTAATTGTACTGCTGTCCACCATAAGATCATTTTTTTTTTAGTTGTTCAAATCAGACTTTTTGAGATACTACCAGTACTAATACCATTAATTACTACTTCTACCACTACTATTTATAATACTTCTACAAGAGAATATCAATATTCTCTTAATTGTACTTCCACGATCAATTTGAAAAACCAATCGAAGGTAAATTTTTGCAAATCCCTCAAATACTTCGATGCAAGCCACCAGCTAAAAAAGCAAAAAAAATTCTAGGCAAGGACGATCTTAAACTAGAAATATTTATGTTTTCTATTTTCAATTCTACTGCGTTTGCTATCCCAACAGTTATCATCCATATCTAATCACCAGTTGTGGCTTTTTCATAGAGTTTGACTTTCCGGCACTTTTTAAAAGACCGAAACCATGAGCTGATGAATAACAACAATTTGAATGACCGATTAGAAAGAAAAACTAAAGCGCTTCTGTTCATCGCTTATTAAACGTTTTCTGTTTTGTAACCATGGTTACAGCATTTCAAATAGTTTTATTAACGATGGCACGACACCACTTTTTTAGCCATTGATATTTTCCGGGGTGTTTAAAACCCTCACTGTAATCTATTGGAAAAAGAAAGACCCTTTCTAAGGTATTTTTTGTGGTTTAAATGTTTGGAACAATGACCGTATCCTTTGACAGCCGATTTCGATATAATTGTAATCGTTTGAAGATTTTTCGACGGCTCTGACATTCTTCTTGTTTTGAGATACAACTGATTGGTAAATAAACCCATTCGGGCGGCTGGTAAATCGGCTCATGATGTCCACCGTTGAAATATTGTTCAAAAATTAGAAACATTTGGCCTAGAAGCAAAACTTCGAGGGAAAATATCAAGTTTTTAGGACAGTCTTTCAGCCAAGGACCTTATCAGCCGAAATACCAACAAGTCAGAAGGGGGTTTATTTATTTTGTAACGTACCCTCCTCTTAATTTTCATATCACGCGAAACCGCTCGTAAAAAACAAGTACTTATCTGATGCGGATGCGCAGTTGCGACCACCTTTTAATATTTTACCAGACTCTACAAATATAATGTTTTTTGTAAAGTAGCCAATATAATTACGCGAAAATTAATGGGTTGATTATGACGTTATAGGCTTGTTCCAAATTTCGCTCGAGTCTTTGTCCCTCTGTGTTTGGGTTCCTACAATTATTGATCACATTTTCATCATTTGCAGCTTTGTTTAAGAGTTAGACTTGCTGACTTTTTCAAAACTCAGCTGCTGGACTTGTATTGAGATATTTGATTGACTATTATACTTGTCCAATGTTACTTCAAGAAAACCACTCACCCACAGTTAACACAAAAGCAATGATCTGATGACCACAAATAAGTAGAACAGCTGAAAAGGTAGAAAGGTCTGTGGCGTTTATGTTCACCACTCATTAAACCGTTCTGTTCTGTAACCATAGTTACAGCACTTCAAACACTTCTCCAGAGGGCAGCAAGACACGACTTTCCCTACTGACACACCCAAACACAATATCAAGTACAACAAACATTTTTTCAGTCAGAAGGTAAGAAAATATATTTGTAAGCTACTTTCCGTTGTTTGCACGAGGGTCAACGATGAAAATGATGTTATTAATAAAGCTCTGTTGAGGGGCGTTCGAAATGGTAGCCTTAGACACCCTTTATGGAGATCATTTGCATTGTCAACTCAGTTATTAGAACTAAGTTACCTTGTGGTTAATAACAACCTCTTTTAACAAGAGTACCCTAGTGCAAATAAGGTTTTCGCGCACGATGAGAATTACAGTATCGTACAACGCTTACTTGTAACAGTATATCACATTCTCTGTAACACTGTATATTTTATCATTAAGCAGGCCTATGGCTTCCTGGGTGAAAAAAAGAAACCTCAAAGGCGTCATGTACCCCTTGCATTTTATCGCCATTTTTTCCAAGTTTCTGGGCACTTTCTAGTAACATCAGTTTTTTCAGCGGAAAGATATTAAGTTGAAATGTTTAGTTTGTGGTTTTCGTTTATAATTTCGGCATGTACCAAGACCCGAAACAGCAAAACGAAACGAAACGACCTAAACGAAACAAGTGAAACGACTGAAACGAAACGACCCCAGATGATGTAGATTTCACTTCAGATAATCTCTCGCATATAATGCTTTTAAATATTATGGCCGTCTCACGAAACTTTATTTTTTCTCCACCACACGAGCAGCTGAAACTTAAATTTGACACTCATATGCAGTTTTCAGGACGAAACGCCAGCCAAATTGAATACCAAAGCGTAAGGAGAGGAAGAAACAGATAACGGTTCCATTGACAACATCTACGTACGTGAGTTTTTTAGTGAGGAAAATGCGACACGTTGTGTAGTTCTAAAAATTCCGACATATTTTCATAAATTTTAACTTGAAAAACGTAGACCTGTCATAACCTGTCATAACCTGTCATAACCTGTCATAACACATATCACCAAGGAAAATAGGACCACGTTGTGTAATTCTAAAACTTCTTACATGTCTCGCTAAAAGTGTCTTGACCAAATAATTTGCAGCTTTGTTTAAGAGTTAGACTTGCGATATATGTATTTCGGAACATACTACTGGATTTTCATAGAAATATTTCAATGACTGTCATATCCAGTGGTACTAAGATGAGACTCCGCAGTCATTTAGATTAAAACGCAAAAGCTTTGACCTGATTATTAACAACAATAAGAACAGCTGAACAGGAAGAAGGACTGTGACGTATAAAACAGCGGTTTTGTTTTGTAACCATAGTTACAGAAGTTCAAACAGTTCTATAAATTGAAGAAAAGCACGACACCATAAAGTTTTCATTATTGATACCCTCAAGAACAAAACTAAGTACGGAAAAACACTTTTTCGCTCAGAAGGTAAGAGATCTGTGAGCTACTTATCTACATTTCTTAGACCAAGCCTTTCTTGCTCAGACCAATTGCGTTGATTGCAGAATTGATTAAGAAAAATTTTGAGTAAATTTCTGTCAATTCAGCCACACAATATCTCACATTCTGTCACACCCTTCTGGTCAAAGCTGTTACAAATTTGAAAGTTTTTAGGTTGAAGTTCTCAAATATCATCCGAAAGTCATAGAATGCTTGCGACCTGTCTAACTAAGATAAAATCGGGTGATGAGACATAAAAAACTTAGGCCTCTGTACTTTACATACATTCTATCGCATTGTTCAATATAAAGTTGCTTCAAAGTTAATCTTCATGTTAATAATGTGCAATGCTGTTCTATCGAAGTGAAGAACATTTTGAGATAAAAAAGGATAAATTGTTAACATTTTGTATTTCAGAAGTGATCTGAAATCTTTGTCGGCAGCAAGTCTACAAAAATTTGTTTCTTGCTCTTAACTTGATTGCCGCAAGTCATCAGGATAAATTGTTCACATTTTATATTTTCAGAAGTGATCTGACATCTTTGTCAGTAGCAAGTCTGCAAAAATTTGTTTCTTGCTCTTAACTTAACTGCCGCAAGCTCAAAGTTAAACGGGCTGAAAATAGACATATTGATAAACTCCTGTGACCTC